AAAAACGGCACCATAACTGTTGCACTGTCCCAAAATGTCTTTCAAAATGGAATCTCTCACGTGAATGCGCGGCTTACTGTGAGCTTAGTGCTGAATCGTCCACGCGGCTTAGTAGGTACTAATAAAATCAAGAAAAATAATGAGGACGATAAAAGCTTAAGACAGAAATATTCCCTCCGAGAACGCACAATGTAAAGCAAGCGACTCTCGATATAGAAGCAATATACAATCTTGGTCTAAAATAAATGTTCCACAGTTGCCGGTGAATATCAGTAAACATAAGCGAAACAAAGAAAATATATACTACAGTCGTGCACCTCCAATTCGGCACCGGTATCAGTCGATACCCTACCAGATTTTATGATCATGCAAATCGGATGCGCAATTACCTTTGCCCATCACCACCCTAGCAATTAACCTCAACGGTTTTCCCCCTCCTCGCCGAGGGATGACACGCCGCATCGATCTGATTTTAAATTTTGGATCGGACGTCTTCATACAAACACACACGACAATGCGACATCGCCCTTCCTCCTACATGTCCCACAAAAGCAAGTCAGATCCGGCTGCAGGATCTGACTTGCAGGACCTGCATGCTCTCTCTCCGAACTTGCTCGTTGGGCAACGAAGCGCTTTAAGACCCCCCAAGCAGAAAAGCGCACTACCGTCCAGAGTATTCTTAAGCGGTCCGCGGAAGTTGCCGCCTTGCCGGACGCCTATCGCGACCGGAAGCGCTGTTGCGCGCCGGCGATTCACGCGTCTGACGCCAAGATTATGCAGAAGATTGATGTTAACTTTATACTGAATTAACAAAACAAATATCAGTGCACTGAATTTGCGTTTGTTTTTTGCTTTACGATATAGAGTCTACGAGCTGCGAATATTTATAGAGGAGCAGATGGAATCCAAATGTACTACTTTGTATTACCTTAATTAAGTACAAATCTCAAATCCATCTTCGACACAATACCAGTGTGATTCCAACAGTTTCGTATGGTCATTGTCGATACGTCTTGCCAACCTTCTGAGCACCACTTCATCACTGTATAAATATTGACGGGGGTATACGTCTCGCCTTTGTAAAACAGAGACAGTGTCCATGATGGCTCTGTGGCTGCCTTCCTGCACAATGTATGCTTATTGGCGAGATTCAACGTAGAATAGGCGGACGGGCGACGTGCCATGGCCTTTTGCGACAAAATTTATAATGAGCTGTTGTATGGTGAAGTGATTGAGCTGATACATCGTGGCGGAAGTGCGGCGTTTCATCCCTCCTTGAGGTTATTTGGTCCAAAGGAGATGGGCAACTCATTTGCGCAATGCATGTGGCCCAATCATTAGATTGTGCAGGTTATTAAGCCATACCGGGGCCGAAAACGAGGTGCACGACTGTATCGAGCTAAAGTGATTTAAAAGGCACATTAGCGTGAGCTACTTCGAATATAAAAGGTCCATACTGAATCCCTATGAGTTGCATTTATTCAGACTACGTATTAACAGTAGCTGTTTCAGGAACCAGATACAGCAAAATGAAACGTGGCGCATCCTCAGTATCGAATCCTGAAAAATAGGTGCCTGAACGAAGATGCTACAGTATCGGTTTGGGTGTAGACTCTAGCATTACAGGCCCCGTAGGCCGTAAAAGGAGTTACTTCGTAGTCTCGGGGACGTACGGATCGTCCTTCATCCACCGGCTCACAATTGGGAATTGGTACGTGTCGAGGAGGTCGTTGACTTTAGGAAACTCCTTCAGAATCGTAGCGCGCAATTTCTCGTCAACAACCAAGTGACCTGCAGCATTGAAGTGGACTCCGTCCACCAACACTTTGTCTCTCGCAGTCACCGTCATGGCGTCGAAGTGCGAGTACAGGTCCAGAACGGAGACCCCAGCCTCTTTTGCAGCCTCAACACAGGCGCGAGCGTACAGCTTCGTCATCGCGTTGGACCGGTCCAATATCCCCTTCTTGGAGTCGGTTCGTTCCGCAGCAAATTTCTTTCGGGCAGCGTCACCGACGTGAAGCGGGGTAGCTATCAAGATTTTCGAGTCAGGTGCCACTGCCCGGAACTTCCCCACGATTTCGAAAAGATTTTGCTTGTACTGTGGAACGGGGACGTGCGCCTCTTGGCTACTACCGTTTGTCAACAATGCGTCGTTTGCACCCAGCCAAAGCGTGATAAGTGCTGGGTGGTAGTCACCCCTCGTGATCTCTTCTTCGATGCCGGGCATCGCGTACTTGAGGAACCATCTGAAAGTAGCTCGGACAAACAGTTGAGTGAGATGAACATTTCCAAGCAAGCAAATGTGCACGGTTGTACCTCGTGTTGTATCCCGAGAGAGCACGCACGATCATATCGGCGGAGCGCGAGTATCGACCCGCCAGAAGAGAAATGAAGCCGTCCACGGATGGGTTGGTAGCTAGCTCCATGATCGAGTCGCCCGCAAGCAAAACCGTCGTTCGGTTCTTAAATCCAGAGTCCGACGCTGCTGAAACTGTCTTAACAGAACACAGCACACACGCTGCAACGGCGAAGTACTTAAGAAGACCGCGGAATGATATCATGGCGCCTCAGTGTCAGATTGAAAAGTGAGAGCTGGTCGTACAGCACTACATGTATAGCGTCGTTATCATCGTCGAGTCGACTTTGCAAGCATGGATGATACCGACCAAGATACCATTACATTCCGGTACCGGTAAGAGCCGTTCACTTTCCTGGAATCGCTCGATTGCCACCAAAGTGAGCAGACTTACTATTGCCAAAGTAAGCAGACTTACTTTGGCAATCGAACGATTTAAGGAGAGTGACCTGTACCGGAATGTAATAGCATCTTGGGATCTGCCGCTACCGCTTCGCACGAATTCACGGCCCAGATGTTTACTCACATGTATCAGTATAAGCGTTATACTCAACATTTCCATGCGCACGTGCAACATCCGCGCACATTATTGTGCCAACTGCGCTGGTCCGAGAATATTTCAGACGAACGAGATGCCCCAGAACGGATTTTATTGGGGAGTCTGGATCCGCATGTTTGCGTACTTTTGAATCTGCCACTAATCCTGGCGACTCTTCTTTCCTGTACCGATTCCTCTATCGAGCGCATCTTTCACACCGAGCATCAGATATTAAAATTATAAACGACTCATTTCCCTTAGATAAAAGTGGCCTTCTCAAACTTTGATTAACATCTTATGGAACTCCATCCATTGTGCTACAACAATCCATCTGCGAGAAAGCATTTTTAACACTCAAAAATCAGCAAGCGGACCCTCCAAATCTAAGTATTCAACGGAGTCCTTACGTGAGCAGACCAACACCATTGTAGAGCAGTAGTTCGAATTGTGGTATCCCTTCTCCAATCGCCAGAGGCTTCACCGCGAAAGGAGCAAAATGCTGTAAGATCTCGTGCTGTGTAGATCATCAAACGTTAGATTGGGTCAAGAGCCAGCAAGCTTTGACGAACGCACCATGACATAAATAGCGATTGAGTTCTTCCCAACAGAGGCGCAAGGAGCGCCAAACCACTTGACTCTCGCTTCCCCACCAATAAGCTTTATGAAAAGCGCTAGCAGCCAAGACGCCAAGCCCGAGCTCAACAGGACATACGGAAGCGACCAAAGATTCTTGTTCAGCGGAATCCACGGGCCACGAGGAAACACCCAGAGGCCTCCGCTCACGATGCTTAGCAGTATTAAACTGCTTCCACAGACCAAGAGGAGTCGTACTTGACGATCCTGCTCTCGTATTTTCGCGACAAACGCAGCTTGCAGGTATCCAAAGTACGCCGTAGCTGCCACCATCAACCAATTCAAGAGTCCTTCGGGGTCATAAGGTCCCGTTTGGTAGCGTTTCTGGCACGTCGGGGTCTGAAAAATGTGACGAAGTCCAAACACTAGCGAGTCCACGTACAAATGAGCCCCACCAGTGCAATTACGATGCACCCCGGCGTCTGCATCTCCACCAGGACCGATGTAGCCCGTCGGACAGCCAGGAACGTGCAGTGTGAACGTTAGCAGCAGGTTGACGAGAACTAATGGCAATACACCGACAATCAAATGACAAGCTAGTGCACGGTACTTTTTGATTCCGTTGCCGTCATGCAGAGGCAAGAGCCAGTCCGCTGTAGCGACGGCCAGATACGCGACGCTGAGAGCCTGTAACACACCAGGAATTCTCCACTCGCTCCAGCTGTCTCCGTTGTTAATGAAGAGACCCAGCGCAAAGAGCTTGCTTGCTCGCTGACCGATGCGTCCAAGTGATTCCAGCTTGGATATTCCTCGACTAGTGTCGGAGGACAAGAAGATGCTGAAGCCGAGAATCCAAGCAAACCTGATAAAAGAAATGTTACAATTAGAACTTTCAATTATTATGTTAAGAATTGCAGAAGCAGTTTACCAAGGGAAGACTAGATCAGCGATCGTCAGTCCATCCCAGATACTGTGAGTGAAGATAGCAAAGCCGCCACCTTCAAAACAATCTCAGCAGTATCACACGTGAGCTGCTGGTTTTAAAAACTTCATATCTTAAGTTTCTAGTACCCACCTCCGTAGTTCACAAATACCATAAGACTCAAAGTGAGTCCTCGAAAAGCATCCAAAACCTCATACCGCTTTGCGCTCCCTCTGTCCTTGTGTCTGTCGAGGAGTTCATACAAGCCGGAGTCCGATTTCAGCCGCGGGGGCAGTAACGGCTCCGATATGCTGGAGGTTCTTCTGGAGCTCCTGTTAAACTCATTGGTGAGCATGCAGCTTCTATGCAGCAAAACGACCAATATGGTAGTCAATGTGACCACAAGTACTGTGCTCTCAGTATTCATCGAAGCTAGTTGGGTGCTGTCAAGAGCTTCGGCGTTCGACAGATTTGGTTACCGAAAGGTCTCTTGGACTAAGAAAGTATAGACTCAAACATTATAAGAAAGTAAAGACCCAAATTGTGTTTAAGGGGTTTCTAATCACAACACCATCTCATTGGTCAAATACCGGAAACCATATCACAAACAAATGGGTGACACAAAATTCAGTACTAATCAATTTTGTCGAAATCGAATAGTCCACCCAAATTAAAATGAAACCCGGAAGGAATCGTCCCGACGATTCATTTGTGTGCCCAGAATGACGCTACTTGTATCTCTTCTTCAGCTGCTTCCACTCTTCACAGCCTTCGTTTATGCAGATCTCACACGCAGCCCGATAGTAGCTCTGCACCCGCACCATCTCGTTGCGTTCTACCCGCTGCTTTTGAATTCGAAAGACTTCGCTCCTTTCGGAATCACAAATGGCTACACTCAAGACGGCTACTCTCGCACGATCATCACACCCAAGCTCGGAGCAAGACTGGAGCAAGGAACTGGACTGGACCTGCCTCTTAATATCCACCGCCTCAACTTCCCACAGCTGACGATCGGTGCATGGGTGCAAGTAAGCGAAGCTATGGCCACCAACCAAGGGTGGGTGAATCGTTGAGTGATAAAACTGATATATTGAGTGAGTAGAATCTTTTTTTATTTAACCCTGTGTGTTTGTAGGTGTCTGCTGTCGCAGAACGGGTCCAATGTTGGGCGAGCAGTGTGTGTCGATAGAGGCCAGTGGTCAGTCGGAGGCCACGTGCTGGGCGAAGCTGCAGTGAATATCGACGAATGGTCCTTCGTCTCTGTGGTGTTTAGTGAAAATTCGACCATACTTTTCGTGGATGGAGAAATAGTGGAGATCGATGTTAAGCTCGAGAGTGTGGCTAGTTCTCTGCTGGTGGTTGGAGCCGCAGCAGAGCAACCATTGGGAGGGATTACGGGGTATCTCAAATCTGTATTTCTGCTCGATATTGCGCTGTCCGAGACGGAATTGAGGTACTTAATGATAACGGAAGAGGTTGCAGCGCAGGATACACACACCATCGCAGCTCCGACGCCCGTGGAACCAGTGGAAAAGGACAAACCGATTCCCCGTTTGTATTTAAAAGACCGGTTGGAGAATACCGTTAGCGCGAGACAGGTTATTGACCCCGATGCAGATGAATACAACGCCGCCTTACCGGTGCTTGACGACTCGGAATTGTTGTCTGTAGAGCTGGTGTACGCGGATGGCGCTTCGAGCGATGATAGCAGCAGCGTGGATGATGCTCCATTTAAAATGTGGTCGCTGGAGCCGAAGCAGCGTGAGCTTCACGTGGGATCTATGGTGACTGTACAAGGCTCGCCGAGCTTTGATGAGCTGACTTCAATGTGCAGAATTAATGACGAAATCACGATCGCTCCGTTCAAGGTGACAGCACATTCGATCACTTGTCAGATCCCAGAGGTGGACGCTCAAGCTCGTATTGAGCTCTCTATCTCGCAGAATGGAGTCACTTTTTCTTCTGTCGGAGAGTTCCGATTGCTCAAGCGCCCATCGATCTATCGATTGAATCCACGACAATGTTTGCGCTCCGTTAAGCCGCAACTCATTGACATTTTTGGAATGAATTTCGTAAATTTGCCTTCTCTGAGCTGCGCGATCGGCCATTTGACTGTCCCAGCGACATTCCAATCCTCGTCGAGAATACAGTGCGTGGTTGAGTCTACACGCTACGAAGAGAGTTTGTCACGTGTGGAAATTGATGTTTCTGTCAATGGAGTGGACTTTTCAGACGACCCGAGAGTGTTGGAGTTGATAGATGCACCATCGATTGGCAGACTGTCGCCCGACAATGCGCCTAGAACAGGAGGCACATTGGTTGAAATTTCCGGCCACGGATTTTTTGAGAATATGCGCTACTCCGTATACTATGGTGCGAACGTTACTGCTGACGTCGAATATAGGAGTCCCAGTTTATTACTTTGGAGAACAACAGGAGCAAATCTCACAGGCGCTGTCGATGTAAAGCTACAAGTGGAGGGGGAACTCGTACCTGAGATCCCAAGCTTGCCGTTTTCCTTCACCTTAATGCCCCAAATCGCGTCAATTTTCCCTCAGCTTCTCCCGGTTCGGTCCGAAATAATGCTGACAATTTCCGGAAGTGGCTTCACAGCGTTTTCCGGCCTTCGTTGCTCATTCAAGAAGTGGACACGTGACGGTAAAGTATCAGACACGACAACATGGACGTCCGTAGCAACATTTATGACTCGTTCCATTGTTCAATGCCCGACACCACTGCTCGAAGACGCAGAGTCGTATGCGGTTTCTGTATCGAACAATGGCCAGGATTATTCACCTGCTTCCAGCGTTGCTAGCATTATAATACACAGTGAGATACTTTTGGAAAATGCATCTGTATCGGCGGGACCAGCAACGGGAGGAACACACGTGGATATCACAGGGCGATACTTTGTGAGATCTACTGATGTGGTCTGTCAATTCGGGGAGAGTCGAGCTCGAGCTTCTTTCGTCTCGGATACAGTAATTCGATGTGTTAGTCCAGCGTGGAATCCTGTGATTGCCACTGGAGGAATTGCTCCGGTGCCTGTTCGTATCGCACTAAACGGACTTGACGTTTCCACTTCTAGTCTTTCTTTTCAGTATTATGCTCCACCTGTGGTGGACACGATATCGCCGGTGAATGTACCTGTCAATAGTTCTCTATCGCTTGGCCTTTATGGAAGATATCTCGTCTCATTTGGAGGCATTCTATGTCGTATCGGGACTTTACTAGTGCCTGGAAGTGTGAAGAATGGCGGCCGAATGATTCAGTGCGACCCCGTCCTAACTACTATGGACTCGGGCTTCGTGACGATCAGCGTTTCTCTTAATGGCGGACGTGATTTTACGCCAAGTCGTATCGATCTTCTAGTACATGAGCCGATCGTAGTACGTGGAGTGGATACACCGTACCTAGTCAAGAGCTTCAGCTCTTCCGTTACAGTTAGAGGGCGAGGATTCCTGAACAGCAATGGAGCAAAGTGTGTCTATGGAGAGAAGCTTACGCCCGCCAGTGTCGTCACCTCAGAGATTATAATGTGTCCTCTACCGTCTACGATCCAGCCTGGTCACGATTACCAATTACGCATTAGCCTTAACGATGGCGTCCATTTGTCCAGCAGTGCCGCCCGTGTGTATGTGTATGATTTGCCAACATTCGAAGCCATCACACCGACTTCAGTGACGGAGACAGAGGTTCTTCGTGTATGGGGAAGTGGATTCGTTCTAAATGCGAGTACTTCGTTGGCGATCACGTGCGTTTTTGGGGACTACGCTCGAGTTACCGCTCGGGTGAACAATGGATCAAGCTTGCTTTGCGTTACGCCAGACTTAGGGTCGACTGGGAATACTTCGAAGACAGTGACCGTCAGTTTCCAGGTAGGACCCTCACTTATCGCCACAGATCTGGCGCTTACATACACGTCGGCTTCCAGGGCTGTGACTGTAGATCCTGGAGCTGTGCCAGGTAGAATGCCTCTCATGATTCAAGATCACTGGTCTGATGGCTACATTTCGACACGTAACTCTTCATTCGACACGCCAGTATCCAGTACAACTACCCCAACGCTACCTGTTCCGTTACCTGGTATTTACGACATCTCACCGAAGCTTGTGGAGAAAGATTCACGTGTAAACATCACGGTTCATGGCCAGAATTTCGAGAGAAATAAGACTTTTTGCCATTTCAGCTCACAGCCAGAGCCCGTCCCCGCTATTGTCAAGTCTCACGCCGTCGCGTTGTGTGCTTTCGACGGATCTCTGGCAGACCCTGGCAGCATCAGCCTCTCGCTGAGCTTAAACCGTGCACGGCCAAGTCTTGCCACCGAGGCTTTTCTCCTCCTGAACCGTCCGACAGTGGCCTCCATCTATCCTCGACGAGGCCCGCTGGAAGGAAACTCTACAATTCTCGTCACAGGCACTGGATTCGCTGCCACTCAAGCGCTTTATTGCCATTTTGACGGACAAGCGAAAGTACGCGGTCAACGGTTAACAGATACTATGCTGCAGTGCGTCACACCACCCAGTCGAAGTGGACGGGACTCGGACCTTCGCGTCTCGATTAACTCCAGTATTTACTCTTCAAATAGTACCCATTTTCTGTACCAGGACATGCCTCGATTGGAGAGTATGTCACCGTCCTACGGCAGTGTCGAAGGTGACGTGTCTGTGGTTATTCGAGGGCGATGGCTGAACGCTTCAGAAGATGTCGTTCTGTGTGCATTTGGCGCATCTCGAGTTGCTACGGTGACTGTAAACTCCACAACTGTAATTGCCAAAGCTCCTCGCAGCGCAGTCGGAGTGGGCGCCGTGAGTGTGAAGTGTACGTTGAATGGAGAGGTGATTACGCCGACAGAGTTCGCGTACCGGTATCTACAGACACCTCGTGCTTCTCGCGTTACGCCACAAATGGGACTGGCATTTTCTAATACCCGAATTCTGGTCGACGGAACTGGTTTCAGTGAGAAATACCCGATGACTTGTCACTTTGACCACGTGAGTTTCCCTGCAGTCGTTTTATCTCCCTCCCAAGTGGAGTGTATCGCACCACCACATAGTGAGGGCGTTGTGAACGCTAGTGTTACTTTGAGTGGGAGTCCTGTCGGACAGGCGGTAGTTGCTTTCGAGTATATCGGTACGTCGTCATCCCTCTATTTCTTTAATTTTGTGCTTCTAACCCTTTTTGTCGTCGTGGAATTAACCAGCTGAGCCAAAGCTGCTGCAAGTGATGCCACCGCTCGGATCTGAGACTGGATCAACGAAGCTTTTAATCATTGGAGAGCGATTTACTCGTCGTGCAGAAATGAGCTGCTCTTTCAGCCGCCAGGACGACGTCACGACTGTCACCACGACTGCATTCTGGGCAGGCGAAGGTCTGTATATTTGCCACACCCCGCCATTTAGTCCTGGACCGGCCTACGTCCAGCTTGCAGTCGGTGGGAATCTTGCAACTAGCAGACTATTGTTCACCTTTACAAGTACGTGATGCGAACTCCATATTTGCTCTGCAGTAGTTGATTGATGACACTTAACTCTCGTGGTCTAATTGCATGCAGTTGAACCGCAGGTATTCTCCGTTTCCCCACAACGTAGCTCAGCGGCCGGAGATGCTCTTGTGACGATAACTGGAGCTGGCTTTATCGATTCTGAACTCTTTCGCTGCAAATTGGGGTCGACAATTGTGCGTCCAGTCAAATTCGAGAGCGAATCACGTGTCACGTGTAAGTTTCCGCGTCCCATTCAGTCCGGCGTTCTGCCTGTGCGAGTGTCGAATAACAAGCAAGATTTTACGACCGACCCGGTGCTTTTCGAGCTTCACGCTCCAGTTGTGGTGGATTATGCTACTCCGCTTTATGGATTGGTTGACGAAGAAGCTACAAAAGTGGATCTGATGGGCCACAACTTTCATGAACTGGAAGATCTCGAGTGCCAAATTATTCAAGAAAGTGCCAACGTACGAGCTACTGCTGTAGCCATCTTCGCGAGTGCAGCGATAAGCACATGCTCGCTGCCAACACCCAAGGAGGTGTACTCACTTTCCAACGTATCTGTGTCTATGCTAATGACCTTGCGAGTGCAAGAAGTGGGGCAGACGAATGTCATATTTGAGGCTCCCTTCCGGTATCTGGCAAGACCGATATTATTGGCTGCTTTCCCCACACTTTTACTGGTTACCGGAGGACAAACGGTTTGGATCGAGGGCGTGAATCTGGCATTGGACATAGACCTGATGTGTCAATTTGAGTCGTATTATCCGTACGACCAGGTGCCGTTCGTGGTGTTCAATAGAACTCATGGGTCCTGTGTTACACCGGAACGTTCTCCGGGATTGGTGGACGTGCGCTTGTGCTTCCGTGGCGTGAATAGATGCAGTCTCAACTCGATAACTGTCTCCTACGTTCGAGTTCCGGTGGTTCATAAAATGGTACCGAGCTTCCGGTTGGAAGCAGAGAGATCACTGATTTCAGTGATCGGGAACGATTTCTGCAATGTGCCTATGCATTGCGATTTCGACGGAGTGAGGACATTGGCCGCTTTCGTTAACCAATCGCTAGTGGAATGCCCAGATTCACTTTTTCAACGGCACAAATGTGCAAAGTTTTCGCTCCTTGTGGATGGAGTTAATGTTCTCGACACGCCACTGGATTTCTGCTCTCAGGTTGCCCCTTTGGTGAACTTGATTCGACCAAGAACTGGCCCTGAACGAGGCGGGACACGAGTGTTGGTCAGTGGAGGACCATTTACGACTGATAGTGGATACTCGTGTCGTTTTGGAGACGTCGAAGTTCCGGCCGATTATCTTTCTACCTCGCAACTGTTTTGCATCTCCCCACCAAGTCGAGGGCTCACAGTGGCGTTCTCGGTGTCTGGAGTCAATTTCTCGATCTCTGACGGACCTAAACTAACGTTTACCTATCGCCCAGCTCCCGTTGCGAGTGGGATAAATCCCACGCGAGGATCGGAGGAGGGGCAGTATGTCGTGACCGTCCAGGGCCTAAACTTCGTTCGTGGTGCTGGACTTCGATGTCGCTTTGGTGTTTCTGCTGTGGTTGCGGGAAGATGGCTGTCCGATACTTCGATATCTTGCGCGGTACCTCCACATCAACCTGGATGGGTAGACATCCAAGTCACCAACAACTTACAGGATTATTCTATTCAGCCACTGAGATTTGAGTACGTGGTGAGCCCCACGGTTCTTAGCTTCGAGCCGAGGACAATGTACGCACAACACCCGACAGAGCTTATTATCCACGGACGTGACTTCCAGAACTCCAGCGACGTGCGATGCATCATCGGTAACGACCTCAGTCCAGCAGCTTTTCTGTCCGAGACCAGACTGAAATGTGCTCCAGCTATTCTAGTGGAGACTTCGGTCGTGATTGGAGTCGTCGATTTCTCACTGTCGATGGTTGGGGCGTTTGCACACGACAGACTAAAGGTACTAGACGATGGAGTGTGGTCGCTTCGACCCCGTGTGACTTCTGTACGCGGTGAAACTCCGATTGTTCTCTCTCGACGTTCGAATGATGAACCGTTGGAGTTTGAAGTTGTCTATGGCCGATTCTGCTCTAGAAATGAAGTCGTGTGCTCTGAGCTGACAGTCGCAAGTCGTTTAGAAACCAACAAACTCCGTTGGTTCCCTCCACGATGGACTGGCCCAGATTTGATGGGGGTTGTGGAGATTTTCAGGCTGACGAATGTATCGATGGTTCCGACTGCACCGGTTGCAAGTTTTCCATACCGGTATTGTCGAGAAGTAGAACTCAAGAGTATCACACCATCGATTGGATCTGTCACGGGTGGTACAGTTGTTACACTATCAGGTAACTACTTCCAGGATGGACACAATCTCAGCTGTGTAATGAACGCAGCAACGTTCGTCTCTGCGCAATTCATCACTGACACGATGGTCAGCTGCACAATCCCAGCTTATGCGTCTGGGCCACGAGAGATCCGAGTGTTTGTGTCGTTGAACGGACTGGAAGTTAGCAAATCCTCTTTGGCCTTTAAGTATGTGGAGGACCCTTCCGTTTTCAGTATTTTCCCGACTGGGGGACCAATTACTGGCACAACAATGGTGAGTGTGGTCGGTGCACATTTCGTGAGTACATCAAAAAGCGAGTGCAGTTTCGGATATCATAGTGTCCCTGCAATTGTTGTCAGCTCAACCGAAGTGACTTGCATTGTCCAGCCGTCGAGTTGGCCGTCAATTGGATCTTTGCGCTTCCGATTCTCGTCGAATGGTCAGGACTTTTCAAGAGAGAACGTGTCGTATTTCATCTACGAGGACCCTGTATTGCTTGATATGAGTCCTCGTGTTGGGAGTGTGAGTGGAGGAACGAAACTGACTTTTACGTGGGATCAAGAGGTCCCGATTGAATATTTCGGAAACGTATCGTGTCAAATTGGTTCAATTGCTGTGGATGAAGTTCTTGTAACTAAAACGACGGCTTCTATCGTTGTTCCAGCGGCACAAAGTAGCCTTGAGGGGCCAGTGACGACTCGACTTTCACTGAATGGACAAAACTACATTGACGGTCCACAACTTTGGTATTTTCTCGAGCCTAGATTTGATTCCATTTACCCAAATAGTAGCGGAGAGACGACGCGTACTTGGATTCGTATAGCAGGTGAAAAATTCCCTCGACTTACGACTTTGAGCTGCTGGTTTGGAAGGCTGGATAGTGTAATGGTATCAGCAGAATGGGTATCTGATAAACTGGTCCTCTGCCGTGCTCCAGCTCATCGTCCAGGAACAGTTGACTTTGGGTTCTCGATCAATGGCGTGGACGTTATTGGTACCAAGCTGCAGTTTACATTTACACCCAAGACACTCACACGAGATTTCTATCCAATCTCAGGCCCGAATTCGGGTGGATCGGAGCTAACAATACCTGTGGATAGTGACTTTCAGCACTGCAGACGTGTACACTGCATTGTCGGTGCTCTCAAAGCCGTCGCCGTCCCGGACAACACAAATGCTGCTGTGAAGTGCACTATGCCCCCACAAGATAAAGCCCAAGAGGTTTCTATCGCTGTCGAGTGTGATGGTCAATCCAGACTGGAGCTAGAGAGAAAGTTTTCGTACTTTAACGCACCGATTATTTCCGAAATTGAGCCACGATCGATGTCGTTAGCACTTGGTGGCATCATTTCCGCTCGCGGACGTAACTTCCCAGATAGTACCGTGTATTGTCGGTTTGACTCCAATTCTGTGACTACTGCAATAGCTGTCAGTGACTCGGAAGTTCGATGTGTTGCGCCCGCTTTCTCTTCCCACGCAGTCTTTTCCTACATTGCACTGGAGATCTCAACAAATGGCGTTGACTTCACTACCAGCGGCACCAAGATCCAACTCACACCTTCTCTAGACGTGACTGCGATGGGTCCGAGACACGCGATTGTCAACCAAGAAGTCGAAGTTTTGGTTTATACAACTGGATTGATAATTAATCCAGGGATTTTCACGTGTCGGGTTGGAGAAGCGTATCAAGTACCTGCGTCCATCGCATCACATTCCTCTATCAGGTGCCGGCTTCCAGCTGTTTCTTCTCCCGGACAAGTGACGGTGGCTGTATCCAATAACGGAATCGACTTTGTTGGAGGATCTCACACTACACTTTTCTATCACGCAGTCCCTATCGTGCACGCTATCAGCCAGAGCAGCGGGTCAGTCTTTGGCGGTGAAAATGTGGTGGTTTCTGGCCGTGGATTTGTTTCTGAAGTGGAGATGAGCTGTGTCTTTGGCAACACGAACGTGAAGGCGACTTATCTGCACGAAGACGCGGCGTCTTGCTTGGTGCCGCCTTCGCGATGGCTTGTCGACGTCCAAGGTGAATACTCAAAGTCAAGCTCGAAAGTTGTCTTTAAACTCGGTACTGGGCTCGATTCCTCCGTATCGGTGCTGGAGCAAGAGAGTGAATGGTTCTGGACTTACCAACTCCCGATAGTCGACGTTGATATCCATCCCACACGGATTTTGACTGGAAGATCTGTGACGGTGCATGTGAAGGGGTTAAATGCGCTGTCATTGTACACAATGAGGCTTGTGCTAGAGAATGACAAAGGAGCAGAAACGCGCATATCTTTAGTTCCCTCAAGCGATGAGCGAATTCACGACTTTGAAGGGGAATTAGAGCTTGCTGTTGCTGGTCGATACGAAGTGGAGATCGAGGACAGTGGAGGGTACGTGGTCACTCAGAGTCTCGTAATTCACGCCATGGATCCTATTCAAGTAGTCAACGTGGTGCCCAGCAGTGGCCCAGTACGCGGTGGTTCAATCGTGGTGGTGGAGATTGATCGGGCTTTGGGTGTAGGAGATAACTTCATGTGTGTATTTGGAGATCATGGCACCTCGGCAACAGAGCTGAAACCAGGCACAGTAGTTTGTAAATCTCCTCCAGCGAATAGTCCGGGTCGAGTGCGCCTTGGGATCTCTATTCGAGACCAGACAATCAGTGACGTACACGACTTTTCTTACTTTCCGGACGAAATGGTCACTTTGATTTCTCCTGAAAAACTGATGGAATCGCAGCAAAATCAAGAGTTGGTAATCACTGGATCGAACTTTTATCATACCGACGAGATGGCTACTCCTTTATGCCGTATCGGTAATACTGTAACTCGAGCATCGATCGTATCGCCAACTAAAGCGATTTGTTCGTCTGCTGTTCTGGCGCCTGGGGAATATTCGGTATCTCTCGCATGCGATGGCGTCAACTTTGTTACTTCGCCTCGGAATGTTACGTACACTTCTCGTGTCTGGATCAGTTCTCTCCAGCCATCCAGTGTTGCTCTCACTGGCGGGATGAATGTCGAGATAAAAGGCACGGGGTTCGATCAACAAAGCTCTCTGCAATGTAACATTGGTCGAGGGAGATTCTTTGTCCCAGCGGACGTGGTTTCCTCTACTAGAATCCGTTGCTCGACGCCTCTTGTCGGTGGATTCAGTCAAGTTCTGCCGCTGTCAGTGACGACGAATACTTCGACTAGCAACGAGCTATTGGTGTCATTTGAAGCTCTTACTGTCGTGGTTTTAGCAACACCAACCGTGGGTTTTAGTCGAGGTGGGGCCTCAGTCAAAGTCGATGTGACGTACGTGCCTCCGAATGGCGATTTCACGTGCTTTTTTGGTGATATTCCTGTCAAAGCTCGACGAGTTACGTCTTCCCAAGTCGAGTGTGAGAGTCCTCCGCATCGTCCTGAGCTTGTCAAACTTCAGGTTGAAGGAGATGGCGCTCTAACTGTAGCGGGAACATCGTTGCCGTTTACGTTCTTGCCTGACCTTACAGTGAAAAGTGTATCTCCAACACGGGGCTCTGCTACTGGGGGAATTTCTGTGGTGTTCTCACTCTCAGGGCAAGTGAACAAATTGATGCGCGAGATGATTTTATGCCGATTCGGATCAACTTTCGTCGAGGCTGTTTCGATTCAAGACAACCAGGTGACGTGCAATTCTCCTATGGGAAGACCAAACGAGGACGTGTCGATGGCGATTGCTCTGAATGATCAGGATATCGCTACAAGTCCAGTACGTTTCCAGTACTTCGCAAGTCGTGAACTGATTGCGATTGATCCTCGAGCTGGTTCACTTGGTGGAAATGTGACGGTAACAGCACAATTGGAAAATGTGGAAGTAGGGTCTGATATCATTTACGAGTGTGGATTTGAAGCACCAGGTGACGGAATAGTAATGTCCAACGCACACGTAACGCTGTCGGGAGAGCTTCAGTGTCTAGTTCCTGCTGGAGCCTTCAAGCATCCGAGACGGATTCCGGTCTCAATCTGGCAAAATGGGGAGCGCTACTCGACCAACAGCGTCACATTTGAGCTCATTTCTTCTCCAGATATTGAAAATGTTACGCCGGTTTTAATTCCAGAGTCGGGAGGAGTTCCAGTTCGTGTAGTTGGGACCAACTTTTCTCCGTATCATAGTTTCACGTGCAGATTTGGTGGGGACGAACAAGCCCCTGCAAAGGTGATTTCTAGGAATCTACTGGAATGTGTTTCTCCTCGCCTTCTACCGGGGAATTACTCGATTGGGGTATCGTGGAACCAGCAAGAGATTTCTCTGTTCGGATCGCCACTGACCGCTCTCGAAGCATTGGCACTGACGTCAATCGAACCGAAGTCAGGCTTCAGAGATCAACAAAGGGAGATTCGAGTTTTCGGTGCTGGATTTCAACCAACCACTAAAATCGTATGTCGCTTTGGAGAAAATCTGACCCCCGCTACTTATACAAGTCGAACAGAAGTTCGCTGTAACGCTCCATTGCTGGCGTCAGCTCCAGTTTGGTCCTCAGAGAGCTTGAGTCGACATACGATTCCCCTTTTCGTGAGTCTGGACGGTGAAGAGTTTGTTGGTTCGGCAGAGATCGCTTTCACTTACTACGCTGCACCTCGTTTTGACAAGATATACCCTACTTCCGGCAGCATCGTGGGTGGTACACGAGTCTTGATTCACGGCGCAATCGATGAAATATTGACGTACAGCTGCTCGTTTGGAGACGATACTGTGCCAGCTACACCTCTAAACGCTTGGACTCTTGCTTGTATCACCCCCATGGTCGAGGATTCTCACAGAGTCGAAGTGAGTATAGGAGTTCTTGGAAGCTCAATTGGAGGAGAACTGCCCTTATGGTTTACGTATTATGACCCTCCAACGATCGAATCTCTGCACCCGGCGACTATCAAGACTGGAGGTGGAGAACAGATACTAATCTCAGGGAGGAACTTTCGTCCAACTACAGCTCTGCAGTGTCAATTTGGAGATTCGCTAGTCACCAGCCCCGCCACGTTCGTCTCCTCGACGACAATCGCGTGTGCTGCTCCTCCTCATACAAGTGCAGGCTTTGTAGCAGTGGAATTGACGATGAACGGGGTCGACTACACCTCCAGTCGACTTTCAGTATATTACTACGACTTCATCGACGTGCTGAGTGTTTTTCCCGAGCAAGTATCAACTTCTGGAGGCACTGAATTACGTCTCCAGCTGGCAAAAGAGTCCTCGCTTACGAATGCGTTGATGGACTGTATTTTTGTTCGCTCTACGAGCTCATTAACACGACCAGCTTATGTCGTATCGAATACCGAAGTGACGTGTTATACGCCCGTGTGGACGCCTGGAAAAACAGCAGTTGGGATTCTTGTAAACGGGAAGCAGAGATACATAGCAGACACGTTTTTGACGTTTCTTACGGAGCCGTGGATACACGCTCTTCGTCCAGATCATGGGCCTACAACGGGTGGGACTTTAGTGACGATATTGGGAGAAGCTCTCGATGATACTTCACTCTTGTGTATGTTTGGTGACGCTATGGTGATCCCTAGCAGTATTTCTAGAAGGGAGGCTACTTGCACGGCTCCAAACGGTGGAGCGAATGAGTCTGCCGTTGCTGTGCGTGTGGCTATTGGCTCCAGTATTCGATCAAACGTTGTGGAGTTTTCCTACAACTTACCTATTCAGATTTCTAACGTTTCTATTCGACATTTCCCGGATAAAGAAGGAAATAAGCTGACGGTAACAGGGTCAAATTTCCTCAATACGACAGAATTGTGTTGTGATATCGGTGCGCAGATACCGTTGAAGGCGACTTTCGTTGATTCGACCATGGTACGATGTCCTACTGGGAAGGCTCACGTATCTCAAGTCACGGTTGGAGTCAGCAATAATGGCTACGACTTTACTTTCTTTGAATCATCAGTAAAGTACGAGGCCAGCCCTTTTATTACTGCTGTATACCCCGTTTCCGGCCCAGTGGAAGGTGGCACACCTGTACGTCTAACACTTGCAAACTCTGGCTCTCTGAAAGCCGATAACGTGGTGATGCTCTGCTCTTTTGGAGAGCAAGAAACACGAGCGATTATGACGAAGAATGACACGATAAAATGCGTCTCGCCGGCAGTGAAAGAGCCTTCTGTGGTCCGCGTTGCTTTCTACTGGAGATCGTACGATCTGGAGGACAGATTTGACGCCGAGAAGCAACAAGATGTCGACTTTAGCTATGAAAAGTTCCCGAGATTGGCGGATGTTACGCCTCCCAGTGGATCAGCAGCTGAAGGAACAGTGCTGACCCTTTCAGGGTCCGAATTCCGCGACGGAATGATTGTTCGCTTCGGCATGGGTCGCAATGCGAGTTACAGTCCACCTAGTATCGTATCTAGATCTATTGCTACAATCGATGTACCCGAACGATTGCTGGATGGGGTTGTTAGTGTTGCGGTGTCGACGAATGCAGTGGATTTTAGTGAAAGCTTGACGTTTCTCGTGCGTCCACGGCCAGTTCTGCACTCGGTTTATCCCTCCCAAGTAAGTCTAACTCTCTCTCAGACGAGTATTACACTCACAATAAAGGGCTCTGGATTTACTGAGACCGCTCGAGAGACCATCAAGTGTCGAATTGGTGACGACGGACCTGGAAATGCTGTTGTTTGGACGTCAACTACCCAGATTTTATGCTCTGCGCCTTACCTGGATGCTGGAATTTACAACGTCTACGTCGCTCTAAACGGAGTGAACTTTGTGAACGATGGCGTGAAGATATTGTTCCGAGAAGAGTTCGTTGTGTACAGTATTTCACCCGCGTTTGGTGTTCTGGGAGGGGGTACGAGAGTGCAAGTGCTGGGCGCAAACTTCCATGGTGACACCAATGCAACAGACCTGGTCTGTACTTTTGGGGGTCAAGCTTCTCCTCTTCACGTGATAAATGCAAGTCTTGCTGAGTGTGTCACTCCAAGTCAGCTACAACCCAATTCAGTGTCTTTCTCGATTGCCCGTTTGGCAGACGTTAAGCCCCAGTACGAAACGCTGGGAGGATTAAACTTCTACTACCACAAGACCCCAACCATAACGAAGATTCTACCATCAATGATTCGAGCCACAAACGCCTCCACTCTTCGTCTCATTGGCTCCAACTTCATCGATTCTTCTCTGCTTTCGTGCTTGATTGGAGGCGTCCCAGTACCCTCAAGGTTCATAACGTCTAGTATCATTGAGTGCTTACTAGATGAAGTGCCCAATGGTACGTGGCCTCCTGAAAGCACAATGAGTGTTGAGGTGTCCAATAATGGCCAAGACGTGTCGAATACGGAGCTCCAAATCCTGGTCCATGCCCCCATCCAACTAGCTCGCTTGGAGCCGTCAAAAGGTCCAATTCGCAGGTCTGTAACTGTGAAAATACTCGGTAAAAACATCTTGTCGCAGTACCAAAACCTCAACTGCCACGTCGGAGAAGCGCACGTCGTGGCTGCTACAAACCTCGGCGATGGGTGGATCGAATGTACCTTGCCGCCTTCTCCACGCGCTGGCAGTGTGCAGATTTCTGCATCGGTTGATGGCGTTTTCTATGGGTCAGAGTGGCTACGTTTCGCGTACGAAGATGCGCCTGTCGTGTACTCAATCTACCCTACTTCCGGTCCATTCCGAGGTGGCACTATGGCTACAGTCACTGGCGAAGGATTTGAGGTTTCTGGAGGGCTCTATTGCGTCTTTGGGTCCTCAGTTGTCGAAGCTCACGTGAAATCTACTCAAGCTGCGGATTGCGTCTCCCCCGCGCACGTTTCTGGCTCTGATCAAGTTGTTAGTGTGACTGTAGTCAAGGCTGATGCTCTGACAGCCCCCACTCTGGATACTCGCGACTCTCTTGTATCTTTTGCGTACGTGAAGCTGCCGCAAGTGCTCGAGGTCTCTCCGTCCGTCGTATTCTCTGGAGACCGACCGCTTGTGACGCTCCAAATAGCAGGAACTGGTTCCTCCTCCCCCGCCTGGTGTAAGTTCGGGAGTGTGAGTGTTAAAGCTGAGTCTGTTGACTCAGCAGTGAAATGTCGAGCTCCGATCCTTCGCACAGGCCGGTACTTTGTCGAAGTGTCAACGAATGAGCGCGATTTTAGTGATTCTCGTATTGGGTTTACAGTGGACCCACGAGCTGCGATCACGAAGCTCAGCCCCACGTACGGCTCGCCAACAGGAGGCAACATTGTAACAATTTCAGGATCAGACTTCAACTCGAGCACTCACTTGGAATGTTCCTTTGCTGAAACCAAAGTGCCGGCTATTGTGCGTTCGACGGACAAACTAGAGTGTGTAGCTCCTCTGCGAAAAGCCAGGAGAGAAATTCACAGGATTTCCGTACGCTCTCGAGCTCCTCAAAACGAAGTTCAGCGTGTCAGTATTGAGGGCTCGACGTTGTCAGGATCCTTCCGGCTTGGCTTCAATAGCGTTTTTACAGGAGATCTCTCTGTTAGCAGCACTGCGGCGCAGCTTCAAGCCGCTCTCCCCACAATTCTTAACGGGAGGACTGTGCTTGTTGTCTCGGTCGCGAGTAAACTTTCGTCGTGGGACGTGGACTTCTCGTCGATTCGCGCTTCGATTGACCTGCTTGTTATTGATCCCAAAAAGTTACTGGGGTCAAATGTGGCTCCACGTGTTACTCGAATTCAGACGGGAATTCTCCCAGCTATCGACTTTGGCCTTGTAACTTTGAGGTTTAACAATACGCAGACGGATGCGATCATGGCAAGCGCGAGTGGAAGTGACGTAGTAGCAGCTCTGTCGTCGCAAACCACAGCGAGTGCAAGATCAGTGGCGGTGTCTACGCAGTCTCAAGTGATAGGAGGTCAAGGATATGTTACACTGATGTGGGATGTAACACTTGATGTCGCTGCGCACGCTCACGAGCACGCTGCGCTGTGTGAACTCCCTCTTATCCACGCTGACGTGACGAATGTCCTTGGCTCTGAGGTGGAAACGTGGACAGAGCGCGTGGAATCTCCCTGTGTGCCAGTTACGCTTCTGGTAAATGGGCAAAATGTGGTCCATGGTAACCTCAGTTACGCCTACCTTAAGGTCCCAGTGATCGCGTCAGTGAGTCCTACGATGGGTCCAGTAACTGGAGGTACCAATGTTACACTAAAGGGTCAGGATTTCGTAGCAGGGCCTCGTCTCGTGTGCGTCTTTGGCTCTCAAGAAGTGTCAGCCACTTTCGTAAATGTTGCAACAGCGTGGTGCGTCACCCCGCCGCAGAAGCAGCCTACAACGATGTATGTCAGGCTCAAGGCTTTCAATCCGGATACGCCAGAAGCTGACTTTATGTCGGAATTTCTAGCGGTCTTCGAGTATTATCCGCAGCTCGAATTCGCTTCAATGTTCCCCAGTGAAGGTCCGTGTACAGGAGGCACGGAGTTGAAACTCAATGTGTCCGGAGCGAGAGATACGCCGTCACTCTCTTGTGCCTTCAATATTGAAATGCCAAGTCGTCCTGCACCAGTTCGGGTGGTCGTTCCAGGCCAATTCTACAGCGACGAGTACGTGGGCTGCATCACTCCATCGCTGCAAAGTTTTCTGCCATCGTCAGGGGATAAATGGCTTCAGAACGCCACCGCGATGGCTGAAGTGGGAGTTACAAACAACGGCGCAGACTTTATCTCAGCAGCTAAGCGTTTTCTCTTCTCCCCAGTGGTGGATGTTACCAGCGTGGCTCCAGTGGATCTGAGGACACTAGAAGTTGCGTCGGCAAGACCAACGAGAGGCCCAATTCGAGGTGGAACGCCAGTGCTTTTAACGCTTTCGACTGCATTCCCGAGCTCAGTCGTGTTCTGTAGCTTTGGCTCTGAAGTTGTTCGAGGGACTGTGAAGACAAACAAAGTCAGGTGTGTGGCACCAAGAACGAGAACGGCAGGGACAGTCCGGCTGGCGATTGGAGCCAACGGGCTCGATTTTGAGGTTTTCGCAGCTGATTTTGAGTATTTCAAAGACGCCTCGCGATCGTTGACCTTGACGCCACTCAATGGCGTCATTGGAGGCGGAACTCTGCTACACCTTTCAGGCGTTCCGTTCGATAAAGATGGCAGCTATTCCTGCAAGATCGGGGGTCTAGCAGTGCGAGCAGAGTACTCGAATGAGACCCATGTGGGCTGCAGGACGCCAGCAGTGACGAGGCCACAGCAAGTTTCTGTCAAGATCTCCGACAACGCAGTCGACTATTCCGAGTTCAACTTGTCGTTCGCGTACGTGGAGCCGCTTTTTGTTAGCAGGATCTATCCAGTAAGTGGGGACATCGAGGGGGGTCAACTTGTGAACGTCGTTGGAGGGAACTTCACTGCAGGAGCGGAGACGATCACGTGTCGGTTCGGAGACGCAGTGACAAACGCATCCGTTCTTTCCGCTTCAACTGCGCAATGTGCCGCTCCAAAGCTTCAGCCGATTCGAGATATTCAAAGTGTAAAGGTAGCGACCGAACCTTTTATCGCAGAAATCCAGCGCGTCACAGTAGCGTCGTCGGTCTTACAGCCAACCGTTCAAGAGATCACCACGTCGGGAGATGTTCGAGTGCCGGAGATCCAGAAATTCACCGTATCGGGCGACGTTGTGCACGAGATACAGTCGATTCGAGTGAGCTCGCAAGCTTTTTCGGGCGAGATATTCTCATTTACGAGCTCTATCTCGTCGCTGGTTAACGAAGTTCAGACGGTTGAACTGCGTGCTTCTTCGTTTATTGGGGGGTCCTTCCGCTTAGTATTGGAGAAGCATCAAACGAGTACGTTGACCTCGTACGCTACGCCGCAGGAAGTGAAGGATTCGCTGGAAACTCTCGACAATATTGGAAAAGTTGCCGTCATGAAGACGACGCAAGGCTTGCTGGGGTCGTGCATGTGGACGATCGAGTTCCTGGACCGTGTTGGAGACGTACCGTTGCTGGAGGTGGTTAGCGTATCCCTCGGTGACTCTGGCTCCCGCGATCTCTTTATCGGTGTCTCGGAGACTGTTAAAGGACAAGGAGCGCCTCTTTTCGGCTCATTTACGCTTGTTGTTGATGGTGCGAGCACTTCTCTTCTAAGTTACGATGCGACGGAGGACGAGATGATGAAAGCACTTCAAGCTGTACCCACCTCGAGCGACGTATTAAGCGTAACTCGATCGGGTCCCTTCTTGAACAATGCGTACGAGTGGAGAGTAACCTTTGCTGGGTTTCCAAGTCACGTTCGAAGTATTGGGACAGAATCGAGTGGGTTGGCTCAAGGGAGAGGACAAATGAGTGTACATCTGGTTTCATCTGGGGCGAAAGGCGAGCAGCAGCAGATCTCGACGACGTTATCAAGTGGGAGTTTTAAATGCAGCTTAGGTACGAGAGTGAGTGGCGACATCGAGGCTAGCTCGACGGCAGGAGACTTCACCCAAGCATTCGATAGCGCCACATTTGGTCGGGTTGACGTTACTGGTACTGCAGGAGGACCGTGGGCTGTCACGTTTGTGGATTTGGCGGGGAATCTGCCGCTTTTGTCGTGTGGTGCAGCGCAAACGGTGACGGAAGTGACACCCGGAAGTGGAAATGGCTTAGCAGGGACGTTCAAACTTCAGTTGAGGGGAGAATCGACGTCTCCTTTGAGCTTCGATGCAACTGCTGCTGAAGTAGCAGTAGCATTGAAAGGGCTTTCGAGTATCGACGACGTTACAGTCTCTAGTCAACCTGGAGATGCGAATGGCGGTGGCGCTTGGTTTGTGACTTTTTCTGGCTCTGATGGCGATGTTCCGATGCTGGAAGCACAAGATGTGAACTTACAAGGGGAGTCACCTCTGGTTACTGTGGGGGAAAGCCAACGAGGGAGTCGAATTAGTGGACTAGTCGCGTTTGCATGGAATAACACACTCTCAGTCAACTTCATTGTCGATGTGAGTGCAGTGGATGTGGAGAAGGCCTTGTCAGCGATGATGGGGATGGGGGATACTGTTCACGTGGATGTGTCTCGTGTTTCCCCGGGTTTTGGTACGATTTTTACTGCTACTTTTGCTATAGAACTTGGTAATGTCGCGCAGATTCAACTTGTTAACAAGGGTCTAACTGGACAAGGAGTGAATGTACAGAGTGATACCTTACAGGATGGAGTGGTGCCAATTACGGGGAAGTTCGTGCTTTCGTATGGAGGAGTGCGTACCCCTTTTCTTAAGTGGAATGTGTCGTCTGAAGACATGGCAACAGCTATACAACTTCTTCAGTCTATTCCCTATGACTTTGGGGTACAAGTTATTCGCTCTGGACCCAATTCTATTGGAGGAATGACGTGGCAAGTGACGTTCCCATTTGGGATGCCTCGTCCAAGTCAACTTATTACAGTGGATTATAGTTTACTTTCGGGGTCTAAAATGGATATGCAGGTTCATTTATTATCACAAGAAACAGTAAAACTCGGAGGAACCTTCCAGATCAGCTACCGAGGACAAAAGACCGCAGATATTGACGTCACCGACTCGACCACTGTACCACTTCAAAGTGAGTTACAGAAGTTGCCGTCCTTAACGTCCGTTAGCGTATCACGAAGTCAAATAGGGAACTCGATTCAGTGGGACATCACCTTCAAGTCTCTGGACACTGCGACCGCGACACCGACGCTATTGACTGTAGACACTCAGAAACTCACGGGTACGTCACCGACAGCAAACGTTCAACGAATCCGTGCTGGAAAGCACAGTGAGATTCAGAGCATCTCGATCTACAGAAGTTTAATCGCCGCAACCGTGTCCTTCAACGTCGTATGGAACGGTGTACGAAGTACAATGGCTGGCTCTGCGACGATGAGTGCTGCGGAGCTAAAGACTGTATTGGCTACAATCTCTGGTCTGGGTGCTGCAGTGGTGGAGCGATATCCTTCAGCTGTAGGCGTTGGCTGTACGTGGCTCATTCTGCTAACTGAAGGCACGCGAAATACTCCAAATCCAATAACTATCGAGCTGCTTGGATCATATCCTTCAGACTTGAATGTACATGTTACAGTGTACCCTTCCACGTTGTTGCCTTTATCCGGGACGTTTTCGTTGCTCAGTGGGAGAGAAAGCTGCACGGAACTGACGATAGGTGCCTATTGTACCGCCGAGAAAAGCTCAGCAATGGCGTTTAATGCTGATGCGACTACAGTGGCGCAGAAGCTGTCGTCACTTCCTGGTTATGCTGGGGCTACGGTCTCATTAGGGCGAACAGTCCCGAATTGGGAGTACGAGTGGACAGTCACGTTCCCACGCGCGTATCTCGATGTTCCTCTACTGGAACTTGACAAATCTACCGTCGGAGGGTCCGCGGTGTACACGAAAACCACGAGAATGCAGAAAGGTGTCGGCATTGACGGCGTCAAAGTGGCCGTCGAGGTTTCGTCGAATGGCCAGGACTATTCTTCGGGTGGAAACGTGTATCACTACACTCCAACGCCTGACGTGTACGCGCTTGAGCCGAATCATGGGCCTGTACAAGGAGGAACGGAGGTTGTCGTCACGGGTATTAACTTCCAGAACACGAGTAGTCTACGCTGTAAATTTGGCGAACGCGTCACAGCAGCCGCGACGTTCATCAACTCGACGCAGTTCACGTGTGTATCTCCTGGTGGCTTAAACGAAGGCGACGTGTACGTGGAGATGACGAATCATGGCCTCTTTGGTGCGTCGACCTTCACAGTGAGTAGAAAAGTCTTCACGTACGATCCAAAGATGAAAGTCGACTCGGTTTTCCCTTCTTCAGGACCGACATCGGGCAATTTCTCGGTTCACATCACAGGTGGACCTTTCAGGAAATCCGACGCTGTACGCTGCAAGTTCTCTGAGATTGTGGTGGTGGCCAGGTGGATGAGCTACGATGAGGTTCAGTGTATGGCACCACCTCATAGCTCTGGGGTTTTCACGCTGGCATTGACTCGAAATGGTCAGGACTATGCGGATACACTGACACCGTTTACGTACTACGAGGAGCAAGGCATCCGCTCCATTATCCCCACTTTTGGTCCAGCACATGCGGCTGGAACTCGAATTGATGTTGATGGAGTGGCGTTCGTGAATTCTTCCTTGCTATCCTGTCGATTCGGCTACGTCGTGACTCCCGGGGAGTACGTTAGTCCAACGAAAATGCGCTGTACGACGCCACCGTTGCCTGCTCACAGTGGTGGCCTCATGGCTGCGTCGCTGCCGGAGTATCGGAACCAATACGTCGATCCGAATGTTGGCAGCTTCTACTTGTTCCCGGACGCACACTATTATCCGCAGTATTTTACGCGTTTAGTGTCGATCGAAGTGTCCAACAACCAGCAGGATTTCTCTCTCAGTGGGATCAACTTTTTGTACTACCAGGACGAAACTCTGGAGGCCATCGCTCCAGCTCAAGCGTTCGACAGTCACGAGCCTCTGTCAATTTTTGCCTATGGACGGAACTTCATCAACACGACGGCGTTGACGTGTCGTCTTGGACTGCAGACCGTTCCGGCGACGTTCGTGACCTCCAAGTTGTTGCTGTGTGAGGTAAAACACCCAATGTTGTACGATGATTCTAGAAGAGATTCGGACAAATTTCACGATCTGACTCAACCAAGACACGCGTTGTTTGAGGTTTCCAACAATGGGAGGGATTTCACAACCAGCCACGTCGTATTTGAGTTCCTAGGAGCTTGTCCGACCGGATACTTCTGTCCGAAACAGCTTCAAGGTGCTAAAGGGAGAATCCCGTGTCCTCGAGGGACTTACTGTCCGGGTGTAGCCAACTCGGCCTTCACTCTGTGTCCACGAGGAACGTACCAGCCCAAAACGGCGCAAGCTGCGTGTCTCCGCTGTCCAATCGGGTATCACTGTCCTCATACCGGTATGCACGTGCCGCGGTTGTGTCCAGCTGGATACGTTTGCGACGTCACGGGGGATCGAAGAAGCCGATCAACCCTGTCCAGAAGGACACTATTGTCTCGAAGGAACAGCCACGACAGCGACGACGTGCACCCCGACGAGTTCCACAGGAATGATGGTCGCGTCTTCCTCCGCAGCCGAGAAACCCACGACTCTGCGTCGTCAACGTAACAACGCTCCCCTGGCCAGTATTCAAGCGCGGAAAAGCGGGTGTTGGCGTAACGAGACGGAAGACTTTGGGTTGCAGCTGAGTACTCGGCCTTCTCGGTTCTGGATGGAGTTACAGCAGCTCCCGTTGTCTCCGGGCTCGTCGTTTGAATCGCCAACGCGAGGTCGATTCTGTCTCGACGATTCGTGCGTGAAACTCGCAGACGCCGACAATCTTCGCGTCGAGGATCGGTTCTTTAACTACGACTCGACGGACTTTGCGCTGCGACGGCCAGTTGCTTGTCCTGCCGGGTCCTACTGCCACCCTGGAACTGCAGCCAGTGACTCGCTTATGAAGAACTTTTCCACTGCTCAACCATGTTTCGAGGCCATGTATTGTCCAGAGGGAAGTTCGAGTCCACGAGGCTTTGGAGAGTGCGCTCCAGGCTTCTACTGTCCGTTTGGCACGCGGATTTCGTGTCCTGCAGGCTCGTACTGTCCTCAAACAGGTCACATCTCGCCGTTGCCGTGCCCTCCTGGTACGTTCAACGCCATGACAGCGCAGGCGAACTGCACGTCGTGTCCTGTTGGATTCATCTGTCCGGGTTACGGTCGAGTTATGCCTGCGTTGTGTCCGTCTGGATACGTGTGCAGTAAGAGAGCTCTCGCGTCACCGAATAGTCTGTGTCCAAGAGGATTCTACTGTCTCGAAGGTACAGCCACGTCCGACGGGTTCCGGAACGACACGAGGTTGAGACCGTATCCGTGTCGACCGGGTACTTACTGTCTTAAAGGCGTCGTGGCTGACGAGGTTCGAGTGGGAGATTATCGCTATCCGCAGAATTGTACGGCCGGTTTCTACTGCGAGTTGGGGTCGTATTCGCCCAAAGGTTCAGGTCTATGTCCGCCTGGTTTCACGTGTCCAAGCGGGACGGCAGCTCCGATTCCTACCTCGAAAGGCACGTTCGCTCAGCTGGAAGGAACCGTGTCTGCCGCTGCGTGTTCGCCGGGTTACTACGCACCGACGATCGAGTCGACCGAGTGCGTGCCGTGTCCTTCAGGCACGTCGTGTGAGAACGACGGCACGGCCGTCGCCAGTATCTGTCCGCCTGGTTCGTATCGCGGTAGTTTGGCAGCCGATGGCTTGGCCTGTCTGGCGTGTCCTCAAGGCACGTGGTCTAAGAACTGGGAGCTCCGTGGCGTCGAAGAATGCATCGAGTGTGCCCCCGGTACCGTGTGTCCTATCGACGGCATCTCGAACCCGTGTACGGTCGACGATCTTCCGGACGTGTACACACCCGTGGCAGCCAATTTGACCTTCGCGCAGTGTCTTGAACGTGGTTCAAACTACTTTTTCGGAGTTCTACTGGAGCCGTGGATCGACGAGTTGGGACGAGGAGCTCATTTCCTTCCTGACCGTGACAACGGACGCTGCTATGAGAACTCAAAGCCTCGAGGTTCGGATCTGTATCAACGCTTTGCAGATTTCCATGGACCCATCTACGAGATCAGTACGGGAACAGGTATTCCTCATCAAGGCTACGGCTCCGACAGCCAATATCCTCCGCCAAACATGTTTGCAAGGGGCTCGTTGGCCATTGATCTGCCTGTTTCGAGGGCGTACGACGTTGCACGCAACTGCACGCCAGGCTTTTTCTACAAGAAGCAGTGGTATCCTGGCACGTGTGAGGCGGATATCTTTTGCTCTGCTGCGTTGTGGTCGAAAGTGTCGTCTGCAGATGAACTAGTGGCACAGGCACAACCGTGTCCCGAAGGCTACGTATGCGACGCATCCACAACAGCTGATACCGCGTTCTCGCACCTCTGTCCAGCGGGATACATCTGTGGAGCTGGTACGACACCTGATCTCACACTCGATGCCCCTCGCGGTCAGCTCCAAGAGCTCTGTCCAGCAGGAAAATACTGCGTGGCCGGCACGGCAGAGTCGCAGAAGCAGCGATACAAGTGTCCTGCTGGGTATTTCTGCCCCACTGGCACTGCCAACCCGTTCTTCGGTGAGATCGCGAACGATGCGCTGCGTCGTCGACTCTCGAGTGAACACAGCAACCCGTTCCTGTACGTCAACTACACGAAATACATCGGAGAGGGCGACATCCGGGTCGTATCTGCCCACGATATGCGCTGCTTTGATGGCGTGGACGGCGGCCTGGTTGAGATTTTCCGGTTTCGACAAGATCCCGACGATACCGACAAGAAAATCGTGGTGAATCGAGCGGAGGAGCAGAATCGACTGTGTGCTCGTGATCACAAGTGGAGAACCGTGGAGCTCGCGCTGCGTCGTAATGATTGCGACTGTATAGCGCAGACGAAAGTGGTGCGTCGCGTGTTCCAGCTCTGGAAGTGTACGACAGAAGCGTCCACTGCGACGTCCACCGTCTATGACCCGAAGCGGTTTGGCTGGCCCCAAGTGCACAATTCAGCTGCTCAGTGCGTGTTTCCAGGCACTCACGGCTCGAAACCGGTCGATCTCAGTGCGCTAGTAGCTAAAGGAGGTAGCGGTGTGAAGTTCCAGACGGGGTGGACAGAGACGACAGCTGTATACTCATATTCTGAGCTCCGAGCTCTAGTAGAGGCGAAGTACGCGGCTGAAACTGTCCCCGTGGACCCGTACGTGTACAATTTGCACCATGCGATCGAGTTGATCGAGACTTTCGGAGAGGAAACAACGGCGTTTGCGGGATTTGTGTCTGGCTCTAGTGAGGGCAGTGACGAAGATCTGATAAGACTGGATGCTTGTGCTTGCTCGCAGATGCTCAAGTGTCCGAACGGAACCACATCAGCTGCAGGGGCCGACGACATTTACGACTGCGTGAAAACGGGAGACGAAGTGCTGCAGCGTATTAGCCCCATCCCGTTGACGAGTGCTCGACTGTTGAATGGCTCGGACTTCCAGGACTTGACGGGAGTTGCAGGTCAAGGGCTGGGTAGTATCGTTCTTGAGCCTTTCGAGGTGGCTGTGGTGACGATCAACACGACTCAGTTAGAGCGCAATCTCACGTACGGCGCCCACTACCAGATCTCTGTGTATCAAGACTGCAAGCCCTGTCCGCCTCAGTACAAGTGCGACTTGAGCGACGAGCCACCTGGCTGTGCGTATCCAGACAACAACAACGTCACCGCCACTCGGCTGTACAAAAATTGTCTGGAAAAACACGACGGGGATATCTTTGTCTGCAACAACATGCCCTTCTTCTGCGATCGTCGTGCTCTTCCTCTTGCTGAAGTTCTGAGAAGCGCAGCGGACAGTGGAAGCAACGCGACGGCAAACATCGCAGGCTGCTGTTCATGTGAACGCCAGGAAATGCCCTACTACTTCGCTGACACTACGACGGACAGAGGCTTTGCCGACAACAAGCACGGATACATGCAGTTCAGTGTCGCTGCGCTAGAGCAGACGGAGATCACGCTAGCTGTCGAGTTGGTCCACGGCCTGTACGTTCGCGACTTTGCCGAAGGATTCACCGAGGATCGATTCGACCTGACCGTGTTCACTCCTGGACGCGCGGATTTTTCCCCTTCAACGCCGTCGACCAACACGTTCCTCGCAGTCATGCAACAAGAAGACATGGACGAGTTAATGCTGCCATTGAACCTGCCTGAAGAGTACGTCCGAGTGGCTGGTACTTTCACGTACAAGCAGCAAGTGGCAAGTACGGTGCTCATCAATCGCATGTCGGACATCTTCGTTGGCGATCCACAGCTACCGGGTAAGCGTGGATACATCCGCAATACGGCGCAGAACAGCATCGGTGAGTTGATCATGCCCGCGAACGCCAGTAACAGTACTGATAACGTGGTCCCACCGACGGAGTATTTCGGACTGTACCCGGTCCCGGATCCACTGGAAACCATGTTGCGTTCGGACTCGTGGTGGACTCAGGAGCTTGACGGAACTGAGTTCCTCGCTCTCCCGTACTTGCCCTACTTCTCGTCCTGCAGAGGCTTTGACTCGCACATTTTCCTCTTTAAAATGCTCGAGACACATCCAGACTGTACGTTTGTAAGCTACGACCAGACTTTGGAGGTGGATCAGTATCCGTGGAGGAAGAAGCTCACTCCGAACGCCGATCGATGCGTGATCGAGTACACCGCGGAGGTAGCAGCAACACAGTCACTCATTTCGTCCATCTCATCTGCTGCGTCGACGTTGACGTCGAGCTCGGATTCCTCAGCTTCTTCTACGACATTCGAGACGTTCCAGCGTGGCGTGAGCTTGTCGTGTTTGTTTGAAGAAAACCTCGAGGGTGGAGCGGAGAAGCTGCGATGGTACGAAGCGCCAGCGGGTACAACGCTGTTCTACATCACTCGTGAGCCAACAGCAGCTGATGCCTTCGTCGCGGAAGGGGATGCCACTACAGGAACAGGTTGGGGACGCTCCGATACCTTGCAGAGTTACTTGGGTACGGACGCTCTCATTCCCGTCAAAGGTAAGTTCGAAAGGTTCGTAAGATTAATATTCATCGCTCTAAACTTCTGTGTGTGTTTGTCCCTGTCAGTTGGACGAGACGCTGGCGTAGCACTGGCAGTGCCGCAGGAAGTTTATCTCAACTTGAGCTACTACCAAGTCACACCAGGGCAGAAAAGACTTGTACAAGCCTCCGTGAACTTCGGCGAGCTGTGCGCCGTGACTCGATCAGTAGACTTGTTGGCTACGTTGGCCAAGAAGGACATCTACCCGTGCATTTTCAGTAAGGCGACGAACCTACTGGCGTCCAAAGAGTACACGCTGCAGGTGTCCTGGGAGCCTCTGAACTGGTTCAAACTCATGAACCTGTTCCAGTTCACCGTGGACGTGTACTTGGGTTTCTTCACGCTTGTCGCCATGGCCAGTATGATCCTCGGGGTACGATGACCTGCTTCTTCAGGTTCTTGTGCTGATGGTAAAGATTTTCACCTTTGTACTTTGTTTTTTTTGTGCAGTTTGTCATCTGGATGATCAACCGTTTGTTCACCAAGATGAAGAGGCCACCCAAGTTCCGCATGAAGTTGCTGCTCAAAAATGTGGCTACGCCACCTCCGATCGGCGTTTTCTTCGCGATCGTACCGATCTTCGTAGCGTGCATGCTCATCTACACGTGGTGGCACGTCTTGGCTTCATCAGACCCGCTCAATTTTCCAAGTGCCGCGTCATTTGAGGCTACGGCTGGTGACTGGCTCGATCAGATCTCGCTTGATAAGAAACGAGTGGAGAACTACAGGCGCGGTCGGGTCGGGTTATGCTTGGTAGTGATCGGGATCTACCTGCTACTACTCGGTTCGAGGTTACTGATACCAGAGACTCTGGACGCCAAGCTTGAAGACAACGCGTACAGGGAGATGTCCATCACCACATCCACAGATCCGTTCACCGTCGAAGCGGATAAAGCGGAGGGGGAAGAGGAAGAGAACGAGTTCTGGGACCCTCGAGCTTGGAAACGAGCCAACTTTCTGCTCACGACCGTGTGCTTCATGGCGCCGATGTTGGTCTTCTGGGAGTTCTCGTACTCTCCGTCGTTCACGAACAACATTTACGGCTACCTCGTGCTCTTCAAGATCTTGCGGGCGATAATGGAGTTGGTGTTGGAGCATTTCTTGCACGAGAAGCTGTTGGTCATGCCGTTCGCTGTGGTGTTGTCCGCTTCGGAAAGTATGATGGCCATGGGATCAGCAGATTTCATCGGCTTTACCATGTTCTACTTCGTCAACTTGACGCTGGTGATGATTGAGCATCTGTACACAGCGCCGCTACTACGTCGCTCGCGTGCTCTGTGGCCTAAATGGCGTCTATCGCTTCAACGGAGAATGAGGAAGAGACGACGACGTACTCGCGAGCAGAAAGCTCTAGAAGAAGCCGAGTGGCAACGTGTATGCGAGAAGATCGACAGTCAGGCCTCAGGAGTGGAGGCTGTGCTTGAAGGAGTCGCAGGCTACAGTGTCGTGTTCACAGAGCTCTTCATCGCGCCGATCTTGCTGGCTTTCCAGGCCTTCTTCAGCGACGATACGCAGATGCCAGCGCTTTACGGTGTCCGACAGACGGATCTGCTGTATTATGCCTTGTTCTCCTTGTTCATCATCCCCAGTAACTTCGTTCTTGGCGCGCTTCAGCTGAACACGATGGAACTGGCGCATGGATGGAAGCTGTACGAGTACTCGGCATATCAGAGACACCGCTTCGCCACGCGAGACACTCGATGGCCACTGGCTCACACGGCAGCAGACGAGAGCATTCATCCTAGCTGTCAAAGCCTGGATTTGCTGTGCTTCTCGTCGCAGCTCTACTTCTTGCTGATCATTTACTCCGCTGGTATTCTCTTGAGTATGTTGGGGATCTCGATATGTCTGCGAGCGAGCTACAGCTTCTTTGGAGACCCGATCACGCTTCTTATAATCGCTGTGGTGTTTTACTTTATGCGTGGACTGGAGATCAGCTGCGTCCGGATAGGAGACAAGTTCATGGTGTGGAAGCCACGCAAACACGCTGATGGCACATTGGACGAAGATCTCGCCGCAAAGCTTGCTCTGGGTGCTGGTCGACAACGAGAACTTGAACGTGAGCGATTGGAGCTGCAAGCCCTCAACTCGGAGCGATTCCGTCATCGATTCCTGGAACGCAATCGGCCGTGGGTACTCCAACATCTCGCAGAGCTCTTCACACCGCGAACACTGCAATCGACCGACGGTCCGGCAGGTGATGACCGCCCCAACGCGGAGTACATCCGTGATCTGTACCATGAGCTGGTGAACATGGGCGAAGGAAGGCGCCTCAAGGGCGACAGGTCCGACATTTCCTCAGACTCGGAAGATGATCTTGAGAAAATGCGCCGAGCGTGGTCAAACGTGCCGGTGGAAGGAGCCTCGCGTGACTTGGCGCTGTACTGGTTGTCACGAGCTCGTAAGCGACGAACTTTCGCCAAGCTCGTCGCTGGTATCGTAGCTGCTAGTCGTCAAAGCGAATGCTGCGTCTGTGGCAAACGCGAGGATGGCGGCTACACGCTTCATGTTGACCTGGCAGCACAAGACGGAGCAAAGGAGCATGATCCTCGTGCGTTCGATCGACTCATCCACGAGTTCGAGAACGAACTTGGAGAGCAGGAGATGGACGCGGACCTGTGGAAGGCGTACTTCCGCAAGCACGCAGCCTTCGCCACGCTCTGCAACGTGTGTGTGACTGCCAGACAGCAGGCGATCGGGAACCAAGCGAATAAACTCGTGACTGGGGTGAAAATCCGCGCCGACGAGTTCTCTAGTGACGAAGGCAGCGATGAAGATGGAGGCGAAGTGCCGTTCGCGCCAGTTGTTGTAGCGCGAGGAGCTATTGAAGGTCGCGTGCTCACGAAGTGGCTGCTAGCTGCCAGAAAGCGCCTGGGTGGCGCCTTTCCACGACCTAAAGCTCAGGAAGAGATGGAGCGCTATGCACGCAAACTCAAACGCTCTCGTCGACGAGCCGGTAAGAAAGATCACGTTGACTCGGACGAAGAAGATAAGGACCCATCGCGACATTGGCGTCTGGAGCTGAACGGAGCTGCCAGAGCACTTGCCCTTCGCTGGTTGTGGGAAGCTCGCGATCTTCGTGATGCCGCAGCACGCAACGTCGCTGCTGAGCTGCGTGACAAACTGCAAGCACTTATTGATCAGATCGTGGAAGCCGACGACTGGTTCTTCGGACGGGAGCTGCGAGAAGCTGGGCTTGCATTGCGTGACGATGGGGCTCAACTTGCAGAGGAGCAGGCTCGAGTTGACGAGGACTTAGCACAGAAGATCCGAGCTACTGAACGAGACGTGGAGGCGTTCGTTGAGGATAAGAGATCAACAAATGCTACAGAGGAGAAAGCTTTCAATGAGCTCGTCGCTAAGGAGCGCGAAGATACCAAAGCTCGCCTTGCTGCTCGTGAACTTGAGCTACTGGAAGCCTACAAACAGAAGGAGACAGAGTTCGCTGCTGCCCAACGTCAAGCTCGAGAGGCAGAAGAATTAGTCCCTGCTTTGGTGGCTGAGCACCGCACATACCTGGCAAAGATAGCTGAAGACAGACGTACCGAACTGGAGTCCATGGAGGAAACTGCGAGCGCGAAGACTCAGCAGAAAGAAGACGCGTTCGCTCGGAAGCTGGCTCTGGCTGAAGCTGCCGTGGCAAGTCGACGAGCTCTGGCCCAGCATCGCATCCTGGCGCTGCGTAAAGAAGCTCGTGGGGTTGTCCGCGCGCGGGAGTCTGCGTGGCAGTCGAAGGCGCGGTCCTGGATAGACCGAGCCTCTCGCAAGGTACAGGTGAAGCAGCAAGAAGATGCCGAAGCTCAGCTTAACGACAAGCGCCGCCGCAAACGCGTCCTGCTTGCCACATGAGCTAGGTGAGCATTCATTTAATATCATACACTTTTCGTTTTTTCTGCGTGGCTTCCGCATCAATTCATCGTTCGGGTGAATTCTGACACTGGTAGGTATGCTCTTAGTTCTTCGACTTTGCATGACGTGTAACGGAGCTCGAGCCAGAGCGTGGCAGCCAGATCTTAATGGAGCAGTCTGCAGAAGCAGAAGCCAGAATAGGCTCGGTTGGATGGAAATCCACACAGTACACGCGATCATTGTGGGCATCGATCTTCTGCACAAGAGTCTGCTGCGCATGCTTGCCCGAGCCATTATTCTTGCTGCCTCCACTGCTATCTGCATGCTTGGACGGCGTCACCTCGTGCAGGTAAATATGACGGTCGGCACTGCCCGTAGCAAGTAGCAGCGTCTCGCGCGACGAGTCCATGGATCCGCGCTCGCCGCTCGGGTCAGCGAAGTCTTCTCCATCGCCATCCGTGAGTTTGCGACGCGATCCAGACCCAGAACAGCCACCAAGACCACCTCCAAGTCTCGCGCGTGGTGGCAATGCCAGCTTGTATTTGTAGCCGTCGCCCCGGAAGAACGAGCTCTTGATCGGCCAGTTCTTGTTCTTATGACCCGACACAGAGCACACCAGCTGCAGCTGATCGCCGTCACGACTGTCGCTGCCACCTCCAGGACCGCGTCTCGTATTACGGGAGCTGATGAGTTTAGAGCGGCGGTCGTACACACGTAGAACGTTGTCGTAGCTATTGACACCAAGGAAACGACCGTCGTCGCCACCGTCACTGGCAGGCGATGCGTGCACGTGCGAGATTGCGTGTCTAGCTGGGTCATTCAGCACCGATAACTCCTCTAGACACGCATCCATACGAACGTCCCATGTCTTCAGCATGCCCTGCGCCATCCCGAGATCCACATGTCAGACATTCAAGCAAAGCGCTTTCAGTAGAAAAGACAACAAACCTTGCTGTCACCAGTAGTGACCGTAAGACCGTCATGAGCGACATGGAGCGCGTTCACCATAGCGTCGTTCGTCCACGTGCGACACACATCGGATCGCGTGTCTGCCATGTGCAGACAGCTCTTGCTGGAGCCCAAGAAGAATTGGTTGTTGTCTGCATCAACAAGTCAGCAAGGCATTTTTTTCAACACTACTTCAGTGTCCGTACCCGCCATATTGAAGGCCACACACTGCACAAGGCCGTCCACCTCCTTGCTCGTCACGAGTTGACTCTTCTCGGCGTCCCAGAGTTTGACTGTGTGGTCGTAGCTGGCCGACACAAGTGTAGCGCTATCCTCCGCCCAGCTTACGTCGATGACGAGCTGCGAGTGCCTCGAGAGCGCCGCCAACTGCGGCTGGTTGAACTTGGTGGTCACATCCCAGAGCATCACTTTGCAGTCGAAGCCGCCGGACGCCAGCAGTCGCCCACAAGGTGAGAACTTGGCCGTGTACACGGCGCCGCCATGCGCCCGCAGCGTCGACTTGTGCACCAGCACACGGGCATCTCCATCCCCGTCGGCATCGTAGAAGTCTACCTTGGAGCCCAGTAATGCGCCTGACCCACCATGTCCGCGGCGGAAGGGCGACTCGGCGGCAGCTTCGGCGTTTGCAGCAGGGGCGGCCAGGAGGTCAGCGATGGCGAAGGGCTCGGCGGCGGCAGCGCGGGTCGAGGAGGACGGCGCGTGCGCGGAATCGAGTCTGTTAATGAAGAGTGATTGTCAATTTGTTGCCTTCAACTTCAGCTTAGTTTCCCTGTCGTATCGCATAAGCGATGTTATGCGATTAAAAGGGGGATGCGGGTCGTACTTGAGTGTCAGCTCGTAGACTGAGCGCTTGAGATCGTGGTTCTCGCGGTCCAATTTGTCCACGCTCGTCTTCAGCAGCTTGTTCTCCTTCATCAGCAGCTGCGGGAGAGGTTAGACTGGGAGTGGCATTAAAAGAGAATAGCAGAGCGCACCTCATACTGCGCGCGCAAATGAGCTTCAGACGCCATGTTGAGCGCGGTAGTGTGCAAAAGTGATGAGAAAAAGCGACTTTGTGTAGCCATATCGACTTAAAGAGGTGGCAATATGGGCCACCAAATGGGCCAGCAACCAGAAAAGAGCCACATCATCCTTTCAAAAACGTCACAAGGCAACTTGCAAGCAAGAACACAGGAGCAAGACCATGACGGAGACCACCAATACACTGACCGTGGGCGTGCTGGCGCTGCAGGGCGCTTTTGAAGAGCATATCGCCATGCTTGAAGGTCTCACTTCCACCACCTCGGCCGGTCAGCGCGTGATCGTATCGGCTGTGGCCATCCGCTTGCCGGAACAGCTCCAGAACGTGGATGCCCTCGTGTTGCCCGGTGGCGAGAGCACCACGATCGGCAAGGTAGCCGTGCGCTGGGGACTCGTGGAACCGCTCAAGAAGTGGGTGGCGGACGGTCGTCCCATCTGGGGCACTTGCGCCGGTATGATCATGCTGAGCCAGCAGGCCAAGCACGCCGAGGAAGGCGGACAAACACTTATTGGCGGCTTGGACGTTGAGGTCTCGCGCAATTTCTTCGGCGCGCAAGTGCGCAGCTTTGAGATGCTCGTGGCTGGACCTCCGGGTTTCGACACCGAGCCGTACAACGCAGTGTTCATCCGCGCACCCGCCATTATCTCGGTTGGCGAGGAAATTGAAGTGCTGTCGCGTGTGGCCAACGCCAAACCTGCCGATGGCTCTGACCCTGTGGACGTCATCATCGCTGCGCGCAAGGAAAACATCCTTGTCACAGCCTTCCACCCGGAGATCACAACCGACGCACGCTGGCACCAGTACTTCATCGAAACCATTGTCCTGCCGCGGGTATAAGGCCGAGAGCCGATAGATTGTTGATACTCATATGTAGACGACGCATGAACCCGTAAAAGCCCAGCTTTCGTTTACATTGTATGTGGGGTTGGTGTTTTATATGCCTACCTGCTGCTTTGCTGCCAAGCGCCCAAAACACAGCCTAAACTCTAGAGCAAAAGCACCAATTGCAGAAAAAAGGAAGTCCCAGTGAAGGGAGAGACGAGCGACATCGCTCTTGAAGGGGCTCAACGCACAAGATGTAGCCAGAAAGGAATTGAGAAGCGGGACAAATACCTCCGCGAATCCTCACGAAAAGAGCGCGTTCCTACAGTCTAGCCCTGGACGGCATCCAGCGCGATACTCGAGTAATACTTGACGTCCATGTCGGAATCGTTCGCCAGCTCCGTCAGGCAGGGTCTGCTCAAAAGAATAAATAGTACAATTAGTTTCATGCCGACTCTTTTCCGCTGAAGACTGCTGAACGTACCGGACTTGAGCCGCGACCACGGAAGCATCAGCGAGTTTACACAGCTGCTCTAAGGTCATGGAGGCCACGAATCTAACGTTGGGGATCTTGTCGTGAGCGCCGCGGATCGCCAGGGTCATCATAAGCGTCAACAAGTCGCTCGACGCCTTCTCCACAGCCATCTGCTTCAGCGCGTGCAGCACATTGACGCGCTCCTGGTAGATCACGGATTTCTCGAAGATCTGGTTCAGGCGCGGCATAACGTTCTGAAGGATGTAGTCGCTACCCAGAGACTCAAGCAGCTGCGGTAGAATCTTGGTGGCGCTCAGGCGAACCTCGCCAACCATGTCGGTGAACGCGCTAACGTAGATCTCCAGCAAGTTTTCCTGGAAATACTGGCTGCCCAGACTGCCAGCAAGGGCAGGAATAGACAGAATGACGGCCTCGCGCACACGCCACTGCAGGTCGCGCGCCAGGTCGGCGATAGCTGGCAGCAGCACCGACTCGAACGATGCCATCCACTGGGCAAGAAGTTCCATACGTTTCAGAATATTGAGCCGCACGTCCACGACCTCATCGCGCAGGAAGAGCAGCAGCAGAGGGGCCAGCGTCGACTTGGACGTGGTTTCACCCAGCTTAGGTGCAAGCTCCATGCACGCGATGGAAACAGCAGCTGAGCAAGACAAGAATCGCCAGCAACACGAAGCGACGTTAGCATGTGCCTCATATTCCAAAGCAGATGATATCAAAAACGTACTTCGAACGTTGGGGGCCGTGTCCTGCGAAAGAGCCGACAATAGCGGCAGAACCTCGCTCGAAAACAGCTCGTTCTTGATAATGGAGATGTATCCCGACAAGTTCTTCGCAGCAGCAGCACGGACTTCTGCCTCGGCGTCCTGAGAAAAGTGATAGTACCGTCAGACACGCTATTCCTTCGCATTCTCTCGCCGTAGTAGTTCACGTCGCTCTCGTACCTGCAGCAGGTTGCTGAAGCATCCAAGCAGCTCCGACTCCGTGATCTGGGTTCCCATGGCGCGCGAGAGCGGGAAAAAGTCCTTGGCAATGCTGAATCGCACACGCCATGACCGATCCTCGACGGACGAACGCACGATGGGCAACACATGCAGCGAGTTCTCGTCCTGCGAGAGCAGATCGGCGATCGCAGCCGAGTTCTCAATAGCTAGCAGACGTACACTGTCCTGGTCGTCCGCTGTTAGCGCACGAAATAGCGGCAGGATCATGCTGGCAATGTGCTCCTTCTCCATTGCACCAGCGATCTTGCCGATGTTAGAAGCAGCAGCGCGACGAACCATGGGCGTGTCATCGTTGCACATCATCTGGTACAAACTGCACGTCACAACAACCCAATTAGCCTCTGAAACCTTCCCTCAAAGCCATTATTACATACTCGCGAAGCTCCTTCTTGCGTCCAGCATCCGTCACCTTCTCGTAGGTGGGAGCAAAGAGCGAGCATACGGACACACGTGACGTGAACCAGTCTCCCTCGGCAAGGCGCTTAGTCAGTGGCACCATGATGTCTCCCGCGTTGGGAAGCACAGCCACCACCTTCTGTAGGGACTCCACAGTGCGGTCACGCACCACAGTCTCCTCGACGCCGGCAAGCACCTCGAGGGGTTCAACAAGAGCAGCGGCGTGCTCGGCACCACCTACGAGGTCCACGAAGCCACCGAGTTCATCGGCCAACGCCACGAGAACTTCGTCCTCGTCCTCTGTAGCTTCTGCTTAATCCTTTGGTTAGTAACTGAGTCAATAACATATCTTAACGCTTTCTAACACGCACCACGCAGGAACGGAAGCAGGTCTGAACGCGTGCGTTCTGGGCCAAGTGCTTGAGCTACAGTACGCAAGCGCCGCATAGCCTTGATGCGCGTCTCCACCTCGTCGCTCTTGACCTCCTCGGTTAGCAGCGTCATGGGGTACACTTCGTCCTCTGTAACACATAACGTTACATAAGGTTAAGAACCAATTCCGCGCTCCGTGAAGGGCAATAACCTTCCCCGCTGGGAAACGCACCCATTGTGTCTGAGGGTGCAGGAGGCGGAGGGATAAGGTTGGTCTCTGTCAAGTAATAAGTCGGGCTCTGTCGCCGGTGCCTCGCTCGCTCGCGTGCAGTCGGTCGCTCGCTGGCTGGTTCTTCCTACAGTCACGCGCCTCCCCCTGATCTCGCTTAAATACGAATATTGATACTGTAGAAAACAATAAGTCGATCTTACTATGTTTAGCGGGTTTCTGTTTTAACACTAAAAGTACACCATCGAAACTACCGATTGATCAAAGATGGCGCCGCCCATGTGCGTCGAATGTGAGGATACGGCGGCCGCTGTCCGCTGCGAGGACTGTGAGGATGTATATTGTCCCCTCTGCTTTGAGGCGCAGCACCATGCTGGATCTCGTTTGCGTCACACCAAGACAGTCCTTCCAGGGTCCAGTAGCGACGTCTCATCCAATGATAATGCCTCGCCAATTCCACCTCCCGAGCCCACCCAGCCTCCTCCGTCTCCTGCAGAGGAGGAATCGACTCCACCACCGCCTTCAGTCCCACCTCCATCTCCTATGAAACCTTCATCAGCCAATGAAGCACCATTAACGAGTGAATCGGAGGAGGAAGGCGACAGCCAGGAAGAAGATGCTGACGATGACGACGAGCTGATGCGCGAGATCGAGGAGGCACCGTCGGCGCTCATGAAGGACGCAGCGTACATTCCATTGCGACTTAACGAGGAGGAGCGCGCGCTATTTAATCTGCTGGACGCGGCGCTCAACGTCAGTGAATACACAGACAAAGTGGACGTTTTGTCCTACCGCTCACCGGTGAATCGCGTGATTCATGAACTGAACGAGGCATTCGGCGTGCTTTCTGGACTGATGATCGCCAATGATTTCCGTCAGGGGCGTCGACTCGTGCAGGACAAGCAGTTCAAGGACAATGAGGAGTTCTTTCGACAGGTGTTTGAGATCGGGCGTCGCTACAAGATAATGAATCCGGAGCGCATGCGCAACAACTACGGCAAAATGATATACTTGCTGCAGGACGCCAATTTGCGTGAGATTAGGAACTATCTGGGCTTTTCGTGTGTGGCGCCCATTAAGACGGTGGCATCGCTGCTCCACGAACGGCACGCGTTGGAGATGCTGCGTGATACGCGCTGTGTGGTGGCGACATCTGTGGCTGCTGTCGACCCCAATCTACGAGCTGACTCAGAAGCTATGCAGCGCTTCTCACGTGACAAGCAACAAGCAATTGAGGAGCTTGTGCGGGACTACTCGTCAGCGTCGCTGTCGGAAGAAGAAATCCGTCTGTGCCTTGCATCCATTTCCGACAGCCAGAGCTATCTGGCGTCGAACAGGTCGCCAATCACGCGAATGATCGACTATTTGGAGAAGTATTTCACCCCAGAGAAAGCAGAGCCCGGTTTCAGTCTCGACATTCGGGCCGGCAAGAACGGTGCGCGACTCAGTCACAGCCACGCCAGCCAGTATGAGTACGTGTTGCAGTCACTGCTTCTGTGGAAGAACATGACAACGTCGATGCTGCGTTTGTGGTGGGTCGCGGAGGAGGATTTGCTCGGCGGCAGCATGTACCGCCTCCGCGATACCGGCCAGGGTCTCAACCGCATGCAGCACGCACCCGAGACGTCTCATCTCGTGCACTCGATCTTGCACCACACACAGAAACTGCGTCCTCGTTGGGTGGGCTCTTCCGTGGTCCATCTTGGCGACCACAACGTGCCGAACGCACTCATGTTCATCGACAAGTACACGCAAATTTCGCGCATTCTCAGCCCGATTGTCAACACGGTGCACGACATCCCGGCGCTCGCAGCGCAGCCCAACACGCGTGCGTATATCGAAGAAAGTTTCGGAGGCGCCCAGACGCTGCAGAAGCGTATCCTGTGCGACTTTTTTAAGCACGGCTTCGATGGCAGCGGAGCGGACAATTTCTTTGATGCCGGCTCGTGCATTGATGGCCGCCTCACGAGTGCCTGGAACTGGTGCTCGCGGATAGAGAAGAAATCTTTTTTCCACGTGTTCCTCATGGCCGGCTTCGTCGGCTTTGACGGACACTTTGAGAAGTAGATCAGTGTGGAAATACAGATCCGACCTCTCCTCATGCTACCTGGTATCACGAGCTCGTCAAAGTGACCGTGTCTGCCTGGTTTGTGCAAGCAAAGTTGGTTCACTTGTGGCAGCATCTCTCTACTCTACGTGTACCCATGCCATGAACTACATGTACTCTTATCTTAGGCTGTCTACGTCTAGCCAGCGCATGCGACTTGTGTTGAGATATCCATCCACTCGCTTGATTACTACGAAGTACTAACTATTAACTAATTCAGCTTCACTATCACGCATACTCCAGTCTTCTTCGCGAAACTCTAAGACGATAAAAACGGAGGCCACCTTATAAATGGTGGAAGTTGTTGTGCTGGTGGCCGCCCTCAGTGGACGTGTAATGCATTGCCGTTGAGGTAGCCGGAGCGCTGTACAGCTGGTGATACTGTTGCTGCTGCTGATGATGATGCTGCTGATACTGTTGCTGGTAATAGGCAGCGTGCGGGTGGTGTTGATTCCACGAGTGCTCCATGGTCTTGTGCTCCGAAGCAGCCATGTCACCATGATGCGTAAAATACACTGCCTGCTCGCTGGTGTAGTCAGTCGTCGCCACTGGCCGTGTTGCCTCTTCCGTATTGTGACCATGCGAACCGTTTGTAAAATGCGCGACGTGTTCCAATACCGGCTCAATATCGGTCAGCAGATGCTCCAAGTAGCGGTCGTCGTGTGCATCGTGCACCTGCTCATGATCGTCAAGCCGCTGTACTTCGCTTTTGAACCCTGGTTTGATGTCCATCGGTTCGCAGTCATCCTCCACACTCTTCTTTTCATCCTCCTCCTCAATATGATCCATGACACTGAGCTTGCCAATATCGCCGTATTTCGTCGGTGACATTGGCGGCGACTGAGATCCGTCAACCGGGGTAGTCACTGTGGCCGATGAACTCGAGTTGGAGCCCGTACTACACGCTGAGCTGACCGAGTCACTACGTACGCGACGTTTCCATCGACTGAGCTTTTGCCGAAGCTTCTGCGCGTGGGTCATAGCTTGGCGGGTAGACTTGGAGCCCACGTAGGCGGCAATGGCCGTCCAGGGGCCCTGCGGAAAGCGCTGGATGGCCTCCCAGAATCGACGCTGCTCAGCAGGCGACCACGCGTGCTCACCCGGCTTGGGCACTGTGAATTGCGTGGGCACGAGCTTGGCCTGATGCAGCTCACTCATGACCTTGGGCGAAATCATTTTCAGTACTGAAGTGCTCACCTGGGTGACGAACCACAACTGTAAGACGTTGCAGTCAATGGATGGATGGATGCACTAGCGAAATGTGTTCCCGTTCCGCCAGGTCGGGCGCTATTCGTGCAATGAGGGCGGAGATGTAAATTACTTGACACACTACACATGGGTTATTGTTTGCGTCGCAGTTTTAGCGCTGCATCTTGGCTCCAAGTTGGAGCGTATCTATCGATGCCATCGACTGGAAGGCGAGCTGCACACTCAAGAGACGGAGCGCTCATCTCGCTTTTGACAGGCATGAAAAGTTTCTCAAAATTCGCACGAAAAAAGGGATCTTCATTCACGTCTAATTTATGAAGGATAAATGTGTGGAAAAGATGGCAGCGCTCGAAAACCAAAATTTGAGTTCGATCGATCCGACGACCCGGAAACCGGCAATATTGTTGGAGAAAATCCACACAACGTGGAAACCTGAGCTTGCCGAGTGCGCTGGCTCGTGGAGAGAGACCGGCGCTAATCGATTAACTGAGAGCGCATTGGTTGTCTACAGTGGAATATCGGAGGCAACCATGCTTCGGTCTCAGTTTGCAATGGTACATTCCGAAAGTAGCATTCGTGCGTTTTGCACCAAAATTTCATGATCCCTCCGGCTTTCAGAGCATCAGCCTCGTAGACTTTCACTATAGCTTACAAGTACAAGTAAGCCTGATGTATCAGGTAGAGCATGCAAATGAACAAGCAGGCGGACGGTCAGGGATGAGTTAGTATTTGCTTGTCAAACTCGCCCCTCACTGACGATACCTGCACGTCTCCAGCACACTGGATGACCCAGGCGTTGTTTTTGCTGGCATGAGTACATGTACATGAATCGAGCTAGCGAGGTCGTCTACCCGTTATGCGGTCACCCACGCACGAGCATCAAACTGTCTGGGTCAAAGAGCAAGCAGTGCTTGCCAAGCACCGCGGCCATTGACGCAGGATATGAAGCGAGATTTGCGCGGCGTACGTGTCGGCGCTACTGGTCGCCAGTCTGGCATGGTATGTAAAGCGACTTTTTGCCTGCTGACTCAGCAGGCAAAAAGATTCATACCGCTCAGCAGTGCTGAGCGGTATGAATCTCGGTCAAACCGACTCGCACGAGTACCAGGTACTGTACATGTGCACATGAAACATACTTCAAGTATACCGTGACGAATTATTAATAATGTACATGTAATGTGGGTAAGCAGCATCGACAAGGGAAAGCGAGAAAGCCGACCTCGCAGTGGTCCAACTCCAGCAGCGGCCACGTAGCGTTATCCTCGTGCTGGAACACGTCAGATCATCCACAGAAACAGACCCCGTGCTTCCAAGCATCTTAAATTAATACGCCGCGTACCGGTATCCCTCACTTGCAGTACATAATCAGATCGACCTCTCTCTTGACGCCTCCACCACCAGCACGCAAAAAGTGTGTAAGACTCTACATGTATTATACTGTACCATATTACCGGTACTGTACAGTAGTACGACAAGTATTGAGAAATATACAGAACGGCCCAAACAAGGTTGTTGCCTGCTTTTATAATACTCCGTCACGCCCACGCGGTCTGCCAAAGTTTTGCTGAGCTTATTCGCGTAAATCAAGCAGTGCCCACCAAATATCTTATTCGTATGAAATTTGAAACGTTCATCGAAAGTTTCCGCTGAAGTTTTGCTAGATTTTGGCGGATCTTGGTGGCTGAGTCAACATTTGGCCAACTTCTAGCCATCGTCAGATGAGGCTTCCTCTCGCGACATTCCAAAAGCTTTTCGATGTCATGAAAGCTGTACCGGCACAGTAGTGCAAATGCCTACATACGTATTTAATACTATGAAGTATTATTTACTACATGTACAGCTTTCATGTCATCGAAAAGCATTATACGCTCATATTATGATGTACACTGTACTTTAATACTACATGTATTAGAATACCTGTAGTACTGGTACACTGTTTGGTGCTTACATGTTCTTTCCTTCGAACCTGTGATTGTGTTCCAATGTTGGAATGGGCAACAAAACTTAAGCACGTCAATCACGAGCCGATATGACGCTCAATCTGCATGTACTTTACTGCAACGTTTGTGAACTACATGTAGACAATTATTATGACTGCACTTGGACTTAGCAATGGTAAGCTGCCAAACCAGAAATAGCAGATAGTCTGACAAGGACACCATCGCCTCTTGCCAATCAGAATGCGTGTACGCATTTGTGCAGTCCAGTTGCGTTGTTGTTATTTGATAACTTTCCGATTTTAGTAGTTTTGTTTCCTTTCAGGTCTACAGTTGTATATACTACAGTATTTGCCTAGACATTTGATGAATGGTCATTGTACACCATTTCCCGGCCAAGTTACCAGTTTTACCAACCATCGTGCAAATGGCCCGTTCTTGTGAGATCTAATTTAAGGCTGTGTGGAGATACACCATTTTTAATTTTAGGCTACGGCATTTGGCGATTTTCAAGAAAAAGCCACTTTTCCCACGACTTGCATTTCTGCCCATCACACTTTTCAAGCAGGTTGCAAACCTGGTCAAATACATAGAGCCTACGTTACCGCATCAAAGGGCACGGCTCATGCTGCTTCAAGAAATGAAGCCCTCCAAAACATTTTTTATTCTAGGACAACTTAAATGATGTTAATACGGTACTTTGAATACAGTAGTCGCTGTTTGGCTTTGTTTGTGCTTTTTTTTCTTCTCTGAATAAGGGGTACCCTTGAAGCGTCAGAGCATGCGGTAGCGTAGGCTCTATGTATTTGACCAGGTTTGCAACCTGCTTGAAAAGTGTGATGGGGCAGAAATGGAAAAGTGGCTTTTTCTTGCAAATCGCCAAATGCCGTAGCCTAAAATTAAAAATGGTGTATCTCCACACAGCCTTAAATTAGATCTCACAAGAACGGGCCATTTGCACGATGGTTGGTAAAACTGGTAACTTGGCCGGGAAATGGTGTATATGCCTAGATATTTGATTTATGGTCACAAGTAATAACTACAGAAGTCATTTTCCAATTTCGCGTCAAATATGTACTGTATGGCATTCATTGTCCTCCAATGTCTATACAGTCGTGCACCTCCAATTCGGCAGGGCGGACCATATCAACAGTGCCAGGGCATAAGTGCTGTTGAGGTTAGGGCCCGTCACAGGGACCGCCTCTCCATCGTGCTCTCTATAAACTAATAATGAAGAGACACGGTATTTTTGACTCTAATAAATAATGTACTAAAATGTCTGGAACATTTTAGTACGATGAATGGTAGCGCCAATTCTAGACTATGTTTCTGAATGCCGCATACCAATTTCTTGTTAGTAGCCCGCTACTTTCTTAAACATTAATCTTACTTCTTCATTTACCGAGTCCACCACAAGCTCTTCTTCTTTTACCAAGTCCGACACAAGCGTCTTCTCCTCCTACACTCAAGACTTCCTCTCCACTATGGCCGCCTAGACCACTCTACTTTTGTCCTCACTCCATTCTGTGCTGCCCTAACAACTCTGCGCAAATCATCCCTCCAACAGGTTATAAGCCCGGCGTTTCTCCAGGGGCGAGCTGGACGCTGCAAGACAACACACCTCCAAGCCGCATGAATGGCCAGGGGCACAAGGAGGTGAAGGAGACCTGAGTGAGACGGACACTTGCCTGCGTTAGGCCACGTTGCCAACTTTGCGCCAGCCACTGAGCTGTAGCGCTGCATGTGCAATAGATCGCCATGCTGGGAGGCCATGTTGCCCTCTACGCCAGCAAACGAGCTGCACGCGGTGAGCAGCACGTCTGCCACGCGGTATCGAGCCAGAGGAGAATCTCCCTGGACTCCGTACCATACGCACTGCGTATTGAGCCAGAGGAGAATCTCCCTGGACTCCGTACCATACGCACTGCGTATTGAGCCAGAGGAGAATCTCCCTGGACTCCGTACCATACGCACTGCGTATTGAGCCAGAGGAGAATCTCCCTGGACTCCGTACCATACGCACTGCGTATTGAGCCTACGAAGCAGTAACACTTTTTTTGCATGAGCAATGTCTCTGTCAATTGACTAAATAGTGTGCATGCTTCTCACTTCTTCGAAGTATAATAAAATCCGAAATACAATCCGAAGATCCACCAGGGAGAAAATTACCCCAAAGCTGTGAGCTAGATAAAATGTGAGTGAAGTGTGCTCCTAATATTGCTTTGGTGCAAGCATTGTTACCTAGCTGCTCAAAACATATTATGCCACATTCACAAAAGAAATTTATGAATAAAATCAAACATGCAATTTGCAAGATGCAAAAACAAAATTGCAAATTTCACAAAGGCGGCCTAGCTTGTACGAAAAAAAAAATATACCCCAAACGTTGAGAGAGAAATACTCAATGAAATGAATGAAACTGGGAGGCATCAACGCCAAAAACTATTCATGCATTCGCCAAACTTTAGCATTTATTGTCACTGGCAAAAGTTTCAAACATTTCCAGCATAACAGTACCAAAAGAATGAGAAAAAAAAATTCAACACTTTATGACTACAAGACAAGCCTACAGAAGCCTCTGTCTACAGAAAGCAAACTATAGTTTTACTGCATCAATTTCATCTACAATGAATTCGATAGTTTGCAAAATCTATCGCTAGCGCTTGCGAAGTAAAAATAAAATTATAAACTTCCAAACGAGAAATAACTCGATGAGCCTCTAGGGAGAAAAATAACCCCAACGACGAGAGCCTGCACACTTACTGCAAATATGATGCGTACGCTACCGATGACACTGTTTGATGTTATTTATGCTTTTAAAAGCTGTAGCCTTTCTTCAAAAATATTTGAAAACTATAAGCTCTCAATAATAATAGTCAGAACAAATTGAAAATGACTGCAGCACCTATATCAACCATTTCATGAAATTGGGAGGCAATTCTATAAGACCTCAGCAGCGAAAAACAAAAAACAAACCACACATTGTAAAGAAATATCCACATATTAAAGAGCAAAACAATGGCAGTTTAAGAAATGAACAAAGCTAAAACGCTTACACAAAATATATAAAGATAAATACGGTGATCAGGTCTATCCTCAAAGGTTTCCTGAGTAGCCAACAACAGAGCGAACAGGTTTTGATCCCTTAAAATTAAAGGTTTTCCTGAGGTAGCTTCTACAAATTCGTAAAGCTAAAACGATAACAGCAACAATTCAGCGAACAGGTTTTGATCCTTAAAATTAAAGGTTTCCCTGAAGTAGCTGCTACAAATTCGTATAACTAAAACGATAGCAACAACAATCACAACGGTGAACAGGTTTAATCCTCTAAGGTTTTCCTGAGTAGCCAGAATAACAATGAAAACAAGAAATCAGCACAGTTATTGCCAAAGCAAAACAGCACAAGGCGACAAATCTGACAATGAAAGTCAAAGGAAAAAGATCATCAATATCAAAACAAGATCTACTTCTTGTAAATGCTCATGTACGTACAGGACTGTTATAACAGCCACCTGTGGTAACTATCCGACAGATAGAGCATCATACACATTCCTCGATGTGGGAGGCTGTCGAAGTAAGCATCTCCGATGTGATGATGACTATCTAGTGAAATATAACTGTACTATTTCATATAGAGAAATCGTAGTCGAAGGTAACTGCTTTGGGGCAGCCATTGTAATGAGATGCACGGCGATAGTAGGGTCCATCCGGGCCACCTGCGCCGACCGAGGCATGATCCTCAAAGCTGGCGTTAAATAACTGAGCCTCGAGCCAATCTGCCTGGTCTCCACAAGTATCCTGAATGACGCCGACTGAGCGAGAATGAAGCGTTGCAATACCCAAAGCTGGCTGTTGAAGCACCGAAATTTGTTGGTGTCGTGGCCTTGACGTGCGTGTCCTTGACGTGCGTGTGGCTGGTGCGGTGACAGTAGAATGTAAATTGTGATGTGAGACTACGAGATCAGCTCGATGAGCCCCCGAGCTGCTGATTGATCCTATACCGCGCGCCGGACCATAGAATAAGACCTTATGCCGTCCCAGCATCATCTGCGTTTGTCGTCTCTACTAAATTCAAGGCTGTCCGTCATGTAGGCCGATTCTGTTGGCATTGAGCTTCTCTAAGTAAACATACACGCTCCGATAAGATGGCCACTTGTTGTAACTGCTATTAACTTCAATACAAGTGTACTCTCAAAACCTATCACTGTCAAAACTAATTCGTTTTGAGCTTTCGAGTCATTTTTCAGTCTGCCACCTGGTGCACAGGTGGCCAAATGGCGATTTAGACTCCACCTCCCCAGAAAACTGCCCTGGCGAGTAAAGTCCAAATCCGGTCTCCGTTTGGCTGTAGGGCCTCTAGGAGCTTCAGAAACGCAAAAAACACGAATTCGTGTAGCCATTTTGTAAATTGACTGAACACTTTTAGCAGGGTTTTCGTAGACCAATCAAAACACGTGTATTATATTATCCAATGACGTTCCCTGATGTCGATCCAGGGAGGCTGTTGAGGTTAGGGCCCGTCACAGGGACCGCCTCTCCATCGTGCTCTCTATAAACTAATAATGAAGAGACACGGTATTTTTGACTCTAATAAATAATGTACTAAAATGTCTGGAACATTTTAGTACGATGAATGGTAGCGGCAATTCTAGACTATGTTTCTGAATGCCGCATACTAATTTCTTGTTAGTAGCCCGCTACTTTCTTAAACATTAATCTTACTTCTTCATTTACCGAGTCCACCACAAGCTCTTCTTCTTTTACCAAGTCCGACACAAGCGTCTTCTCCTCCTACACTCAAGACTTCCTCTCCACTATGGCCGCCTAGACCACTCTACTTTTGTCCTCACTCCATTCTGTGCTGCCCTAACAACTCTGCGCAAATCATCCCTCCAACAAGTGCAAAACGTAAAGCAAAAAATAAACGCAAATCCAGTGCACTGATATTTTATTTGTTAATTCAGTACAAAATTTACGCCAATCTTCTGCATAATTGTGGCGTCAGACGCGCGAATCGCGGGCGCGCAACAGCGCCCCCGGTCGCGATAGGCGTCTGGCAAGGCGGCAACTTCCGCCAACCGCTTAAAAATACAATGAACGGTAGTGCGCTTTACTGCCTGGGGGGTCTTAAAGCGCTCCGTTGCCCAACGAGCAAGTTCGGAGTGAGTGCATGCAGGATCTGACTTGTGCTTCTCGCACAAAGACTGCTTTTGTGGGACATGTAGGAGGAAGGGCGATGTCCCATTGTCTTTGGCGGTAAAAATCAAAGTGTGTGTTTGTAAGAAGACCTCCGATCCAAAATTTAAAATCAGATCGATGCGGCGTGTCATCCCTCGGCGAGGAGGGGAAAACCGTTGAGGTTAATTGCTAGGGTGGTGATGGGCAAAGGTAATTGCGCATCCAATTCGCGTAATCATAAAATCTGGCAGGGTATCGACTGATACCGGTGCCGAATTGGAGGTGCACGACTGTAATAGTTTTGCTACAAAAGTTTGGCATGACACATGGATCCGTATCTCCCGTCGACAGGTAATTCCCGGGAACCAGCCGTCTCGTCAAAACATTTTTTTTAGCAAATCCTGCGTGTGGCTCTGGGGGATGGCTGCATTGTCGTGGAGTTTGCTGCCTGACGAGGTGCTTGACGCCATTGCTCGCTTGCTCCTCGGCTTCGAGGTGCTGCGGCTCTCGCACGTTGAGCGCCACTTGCTCCTTGTCCTTTTACGTCCAGAGATCTACAGCTCGCGACTGTCACATGTTCGTTTCCAACGAGGATCCACTGCTGTGCACGAGTCCGACTTGAAGTTGATACATGCGATCGCCAACAGCAAACAACATTATGCGCTCGAGAGCTCTCTTCGATTTGGAGGACAATCCATTGGACTGCCAGGCAAGAAGCCCCCGCAGAGTTATGCGCCAGTATTCTGGTCCACTGATAAGCTTTTTGGGTTGTACGATCGAGATGAGGACGGCGCTACTCCGAGCATCACGCTGGACGTGTGGTTCAGCTTATCACCCGCTAAACAGGACGTTCGACACGGCGGCGTCTTGCTAGGTTTGCAGAGTGAAAAGTGTCGGGAGGAAGGAGATCGATGGCCGGACTTCCACTGCCAGATTTTGCACGTGGATGCCGAGAGAAGTTTGTACTGCTCTGTGACGGCTGAGAAGCCTTGCGTGGCATTCGAGCTGGAAGTCGGTCGATGGTATCACGTAGCTCTTGTGTTTGAGCATCGGTCTCAGAAGGTCTATATCGATGGTTTTCTGGTGGACTCTCAGAGTGATCAAGAGCAGCAGCTCGAGAGCTTTCCCTACTATTATCCTCAAGTTGGGACAGGATTCGTAAGTGATGACTCGTACAGCGGGTGGTATGGATTTCACGGCGTAGTAGATGAACTGCGCATTTGGCATGAAGCCATGACTAGTGAACAGATAACTGCGCTTACTCACGACGGCCCCGCGGTGCTTCCACAGCCTACGTTCTCGCTAAAACGCGACGTACCGAGTGGTGACGTAGGGTTCGTCACGGGAAAATTGCTCTCCATGTGTCGATCGCTTCTAAGAGTAGGAGCCATTTAAATGAAAATACACTTAAATGTCAACTTTAGGAAACTAATCAGGAAGTAACGTAAACACGTAAGTGCCGGGCAAAAGGCCGCGACAGGACTGCGGTGTCTGGCGAGGCTGCTCTTCTCTGCTGCTCTCTGGTGAGCGGCAGGCGTCAAAACGCAAAGTGTGGAGCAGCCTCCGCCAGAACACCGCTGTACCGCAAAAGTAGATTAGTATACAAATAGCAAATAAGTCAATACTAAACTCTAGATAAATGCACTCTCGTTTGAGTACACCATCTTGGCAGCGCACAGCCAACGATGTCCTTGTGCATACAGTCCTTGGTACAGTCCTTCGCCATTGCACGCATGTGTACTCAGTGTAGCCGGTTGTAGTGCAGCCGCAAGCTGCACTGCCAGGCGCATGAGTGTCCTTGGGATGTGTCTTTGCAGACACTGGCAGTGGACGGTGGCTCGTAGATGGGGGCACCGGACACTGGCAGACTGCAATGCACTGGCGCTCGACACGCAGGTAAGTTTTATAGCTCACACTCCCACTTGATCTCGGCGACGCACTTGGAAGTCGACGCGATCACACACGCGCATCCTAGTTGCCGCCATAGTCCTAGTAGTAGCGTAGTCGCAGCTCAAAGACAATAGCAGTCCACTCAGTAACAGTACTCCCACTCGATACGCGCCTCATCTTCATCAATGTCGCTCAGGTACAGCCTCCCGCATCAACAGCAGTAGTCAACGCAGTAACAGTAGTCGTAGTTGTAGCCATGTCCTCGGATACGTTGTCATCGCTCGACACAATAGATAAGACTTTCATAGCCTTGCGAAAGTGTGTGAACTTCACCACTGCAAGTGCCTTTGTCATTATATCGGCCACCATATCATCAGTTCCGATGTGTTGGGTTGTAAGTTGCTTCAACTCCACATGGCGTCTGATCATGTGGTACTTGTTATCGATATGTTTCGATTTCGAATGTTTGCCAGGTTTCGCAGTTAAGGCAATGGCTCCTTGATTGTCTCCCAGTAGTTGAGGTACTGGATGCTTCCAGCTCAACTCCTTGCATAGGCCAGCAAGCCACAACAAGTCCTTGGTCGCCTCTGCCATTGCTACGTACTCAGCTTCACAGGTACTGAGCGCGTTGATCTCTTGCTTGCGAGATGCGTAGGAGATGACGTTGTCGTCCAGCATATTGATGTAGCCACTGATACTCCGTCGATCCACAGGGTCGTTCGCATAATCAGCATCAGAGTAGCCACTAACTTGCACATCAGTCTGTAGCTTCACATTCATCACTAGTCCGTAGTCACATGTAGCCTTCAGGTAACGCAGCACCCTCTTGGCTTGTGCGAAATGCGTATGAGCATAGCTCGCAAGATACTTGCCCAGGTGTCGGGTAGCATGAGCTATGTCAGGTCTCGATGCACTAACGAGGTATTGGAGAGCACCCACCAGTTCTCTGTAGGGAAGATACTCCTTCGAAGCAGGCACGTCTGTCTTCGAGGGCGTCGTAGCTTCTGGTGTAGCGCAGCCATTACAGTTCTCCATATGAAGATGCTTCAACACCTCCAGTGCGTACTGCTTCTGGCAGTACACTATTTGCCGGCGCGGCCGGTCAATCAGGATCTCGACGCCTAAGAGATATTTGACTGTGCCCATCGTCGTGAGCTCGAATGTCTCTTGCAGTGAGGCAGCGATTGTGGCACACAGGTCACGTGAGCCCATCAGGCAGTGAGATGCGTCCCAGCGTAAAACAGTCAATAGGCAACTGGATTTCACATTCCTTTCTTCAATACATATTAGGCGCTGAGTTCGAGATCGCTCCTAGTAAAACCCCCTTCGCCAACAGGCTTGGACATGAAGCCGTGCGATTCCAAAACTTTGGGGGCTTGCTTTAGTCCGTACAGGCTCTCAACAATCTGCAAATGGATCCAGTTCCATCCATCAGAAGCCAGGAGGCTGCTCCATGAAGATAGTCCCGTCCAAGTCTCCATACAGAAAAGCCGTCTTCACGTCGAATGGCAACACCTCCCAACCTCTTTGTACAGCGTAGTAGATAGCCGCACGCATGGTTTCGAACCGGATCACAGGTGCATAGGTCTCAGAGTAGTTAATCCCAAGTTGTTGTTTGAATCCATGGATCACTAGTCGCGCTTTGAATCGTTTGATTCGTCCACGCTCATCTCGCTTCACAGCAAAGACCCACCTACACGTTATCACCTTCACTTTCTTGGCATCTTTGCGGGGTACAAGTTTCCAGGTCTTGTGACCCTTCAACGATTGAAGTTCCACCAACATTGCAGCTCTCCACTGCTGCCAGTACTTGCTTGCACGTGCTTGTTTGTACGTCGTCGGAATCTGCACATCCGTAGTCATAGCCTGCACTAGGCCTACCACGTAATCCGACAATCGAACGTTCGCCTTCTGCTTCCTTCTTGGTCGCTTTAGGCAGGGCTCTCTTGATGGAGGTTGAATCTCGAAGCCACTTGTCTCCTTCTCCACCATTGCAGGTTTCTTCTTTGTTCTGCGTCTCTTGCGCTTCCTCACGTCCAAACCTTCCTCGGTTTCTTCAGCAGGATCCTGCAACACGGCTGGTTCTGCAACACCAGCAGTCTCCGCACTGTCCTTGCTCACAGGTGCGTCAACGATTGACAAACTCCCACTTGAACTTAACTCAGTTTCTGCAGGCTTGTCAGCAAGTGGTACCGCCTCAAGTGGCTTCTCCGCACTAGAGATGCTGTCACTCCAACCTGGAAGGTACGTCTCCATGTTGGTCTTGATGCGCGCCACAGGTACAGTCTCGAGTAGAGTATGATCACCATCAAAGAATGCGTTCTCTAATAGATGCTTCATGTAGATGCCATCGGTCGTGAACTCTTCATGGAACTTCACATTCCCACTACGAGCTGTCACCACTTGAGCTGTCACCAGGTCAATGAACTTGTAGCCTAGGGTCGATTCGCTATAACCCAGTAATAAACACAGTCTTGCCCTTGCTTCCAGCTTTTCTTTCGCTTGTCTTGACTCAGGGGGAACACGCACGTGTGCCAGACAGCCCCAAGTACGCATATCATGGGCTCTGATTCGTACAGTTTCTGGGTGCGGGGACACCAATCCTAAAGGGCTTGGTGGGCAACCAGTTCAACGTCGTCACCACGTGCAGGAAGGCTTCTCCCCACAAGGAGTTGGGCATGTGTGTAGCCATCAGCATCGCTCTGATCCTTGGTAGAACCACCGCCGTTAGCACGCTCCACAATGCCGTTCTCTTGAGGAGAATAGGCGCTCGTAAACTGCTGCTCAATCCCTTGGTCGACGCAGGAGTCACTTAGTTCCTTGCTTGCAAATTCACCTCCTTGGTCAGAGTGTAGTCGTCGCACTTTCTTCTCAGGAAAGCGAGTTCGCAGCCTGTTCAGCAGGACCTTGATGTGGAACGTTGCTTCACTCTTCTTCTTGAGTAGGAACGGCCACTTGTACCTTGTAGACTCATCGAAGATAAAGAGAAACATTGTAGCTCCATCCACAGACTGTTCGTTTACAGAGCAAATGTCCATCATGAGAGTCTCCAGAGGTTCGGACTTCCGCGATGGAATCCGTTTATAAGACATTCTTTTCGCCTTACTGGCAGCACAAGCAACGCACTCGTAGGAAGTCAGACCTTTTGCATTCATCTTAAATCCAACATCGAGTTTGTTTGCCAACACTTTCACCGTCTCCATGCTCATATGACCAAATCGTTGATGAAGCAGCTCCATGGCTTTCTTGCTGTCCATGTCCTCTTTTAGAGCCGCCATCACCATCACTCCAGTCACTCTTTCTGCACGTAGTCGGTAGATACTGTCACGCATCATGAACTTGAGTGATGTGCTTGGCTTGGAGATCCAAGCAGTCTGTTGGTCCTCTGAGCATGTCAACTTGAAGTTGCCCTTCGTTTGTAGGTAGCCCAAACTAATGATG